GTGATAGGACTGTCCTTTGGAAGCACACTGAAGAATACAGTCAATCATCTGAGCCATGAACAGGTTTTAGTAGAGCTCTGACTTCACAGCTTTTTGCTGCCTTGCATTTATGAAGTTCTAAATCATTACATTGTTTCTTATTTCATATCTGTTTTTTTGTCTGTTTTTTTCTGTTATTTTATACTGTTTTATCCTCTGAAGTTTGTATTCTTTGTTGTGTCTTTCACATATTAGATTTGTCTTTTTGATTGTAAAAATTACAATTATTTTGCTCAGCTGCTTGCTTCTACTATGTGGTAAATAGTAAAGAAATATTTTGTTTGCTCTGCACTTCTTGTGCTTATCTTAAAGATAGGATGCTCCTGTTTTTAAATGCAAACCAAGGCATGGAAATGTATGTAGAGGTAAATGTTTCTAAAGATTTTACAGACTTAATGATCCAGATTTACATATTGAAATTGTGGTTTTATCTCCTCATATGATATGTAATCCGATAGTTAAAAATCATCTATTGTGATAAAATGCATTTCTGAAATACTGAGAAGGCTCAATGAAGTACAGGCCTTAAAATGTAAAGTAAATTTGTTAAGAAGAAGAGTTTCTGGCAAAAAGAAATGGCGAAATCTAAATATCCTATAAGAAGAGCAAACTGAAGGATATCAGTAGGCTGTGCATATTTATTTTCATTTTTGATTTTCCCGCTGATTTGATAAAGAGATCTAGTGAACTGTCTTGAGAATGTAATTTCAGAGTACTTTGTAGGAAAGTCATAGTATTAACTAGGATTAATTTCAGAAGTATTTGGTTTTTTTAAGGACTCTTTTTCTTAACTTTAAGAAAACTATAAGACATTTTAATGTTTTTAATTACATTTATTCTTCCATGAACAGCATTCCTATGTTAAAATATTTTGGTCAATTATGTATATGAATTTAGCTTATATGAACTCAAAATGTCTTCCAACATCAGTGGCCAAGCAGATTATCTCTAAAAGAGAGTTTTAATAACAGGACTCTAGCATAAAAGTTTCGGGGCTTTTTCAACCTCGGCAGGACTCAGGCATTGGCTTCATCTGGCATGTTTTACATGTGCCACTTCTCAGCACCTCTGTTTTTGTGGCAGTTGTTTTGCTCCAGCTGACCGGTGCTACTCACTTTGGTCTCCACTAGCATGTGTATACTGGCAGGTATATATGTATCAAAAATTTCAAGTTTCAGTGGCAAAGAATGGGGGGAAGATATCTGAAATATTAAAGTGGGACTGCTTTGCATAAATTAAACATCTTGAGCTTCAGATGTGAGGTGAAATACATGAGAATTTTTCATATATGATGTTAAGAAAATGCTTAGTAAAAATGCTCAGTACTGACTTGTTGTCAGTACTTTTGTTCTGTATTCTTTGTTGTGTCTTTCACATATTAGATACATACATTTTTTGTCAGTGTTGTTGTGTAGACTGTACAACTGTGATCATGCATTTTTGCTTTATAAGAAAGTTAGTGTAAGGCTTGAATTTGGTCTAATGGGCTTTTAAATGCCCACTAGCAATTAATGGGAAATAAGAGAGGGAAGAAAATAACTCAATGCATTTGACTGTAAGTTCTTATACAGGTGAGGCATGTATGTTACTGCTTTGGGTTTAATTTGATATCTTCAATTTTATTTTAAAATGACTTTCCAGAGTGCTTAGAAAGTTTTATCCTGATACATGTTGATTTAAGTATCAGAATCTTAAAGAAGGTGCAAGAAAATTTTTAATTTCCACTTTCATTTTTAGGCAGATGATGAGAACTAACTGACTGGCAGAGTCTAGTTGGAGACTTGTAGCTAGCAGTGTTCCCCAGGGGTCAGTGCTGAGTCTGATCTTGTTCAACATTTTTATCAGTGACCTGAGTGAAAGGGTAGTGTGCATGCTCAGCATGTTTGCTGATGGTTGGAGGAGGCTGATGGTGAGACCTGCACAGGCTGGAAAGCTGGGAAGAGAGGAATGTAAGGAGATTCAACAAGAGCAAGTGTACAGTCTTGCATCTATACACCAATAACTGTATGCATCAGTACAGGTTAGGGGTTGACCTACTGCAAAGGAGCTCTGCGAAGAGGAACCTAGCAATCCTGGTAGACAGCATGTTGGCCATAAGCCAGCAGTGTGCCCTTATGGCCAACAAGGCCAGTGGTATCCTGAGGTGCAATAGAAAGAACATGGCCAACAGGTTGAGCTCTCCACATCTACTCTGTCCTGGTGAGGCCGTGTCTGGACTGCTGGGTCCAGTTCTGGGCTCCTCTTCTGCCAGTGGTTGGGGTCAGCATAAAGAACACAGGCATCAAATTAAATAAGTTTATCTTCACTTACATTAAAAAAATAAAATAATAAGTGAAATAGTACAGCAAGAATAAAACAAAACAAGGTGAAAGGATACAAAAAGAATATAAAAGAATAAGCTAATGAACCTAGTTATTACTCTGCAAGATAAACTATAGTGATTAAGAAAGATACATCATCAATTGCCCGAATACTTTATCATCATCCAAGTCTGCAATTGCCAGGGAACTCTGGTTGCAGAGAGGATTTGGAGAGCCTTTTTCAGCAATTAGAACATCCTATACAGTGTGTCCACTTGTAGATGAGGTCTCTGAACTCACTAAAATGGGGTCCAGTTTTTATATTGCTGGATAAACAAGCTTGCATAATTTCAAGTGCGGGAATGTTTCATATTATCTTCCTGTTGGATTCTACCCAAGGAGGAACTGCTCAAGGATGAACCAGGGGAGTAACTATTTATTTGGGCTTTAGCCACATTCTTCTCAACAAGGTCAGTTGTCTGATCTCACTGCTCACACAAGGTTTTACTCCCTTGTAAACTTGCCTGTAAATAAAGAAAAGTCCGCTCTGGTTAGTGTTGCTGGTGTTACAAGAGATGTTTATGGATTGGCATCTATATATATATTACTGTTAAAACAGCAAAAAAAGATAAATATTGCATTGCATGTTTGGTATAGCATTTGGTTGTGAGGTTCATTTGTAGGTCTGCTTTGGTTCAAGGCCTACTGTTCAGCCCTAAATACTCCAACTCCCCAGTTCAAAAAAGACATGGATCTCCTAGAAAAATTCCAGCGAAAAGTGACAAAGATGATGAGGGGCCTGGAGCACCTCCTGTATGAAAGGAGGAAAGGCTGAGAGACCTGGGACTGTTCAGTCTGTAGGTGAGAAGGCTGAGCGGGGTTCTTGTCGCTGTTTATGAACTTCTCAAGTGCAGGAGTAAAATCGATGAGGGCAGGCTCTTGATGCAAGCAAAAGTAGAAAGGGCAACGAGTAGAAACAGGAAATTCCAGGGAGGGACTTCTTCACTTCACTTCTTCACTGTGAGAGTGACAGAGTGCTGGAGCAGGCTGCGCAGAGAGGCTGTGGAGTCTCCTTCTCTGTAGATATCCAAGACCCATCTGGATGCCTACTAGGGAATCTGCTATAGTGGAGGTTGGACTTTATGATCTTCAGAGGTCCCTTCCAGTCCCCACAGTTCTGTGATTCTGTGAAGGTGAATGGTAAAGTTGATGATTTTGGTGGTTTCTTGGTGGTTTCTAGTGCACTATGGTATTCCCTCCCTGGAAGCATTCAAGGCCAGGCTGGATGGGGTTTTGAGCAACCTGGTCTAGAGAGAGGTTTCCCTGCCTCCCAACCAGGGGGTTGGAACTAGATGATCTTAAAGGTCTCTTCCAACCAAACCATTCTATGATTGCTGATATTTGTGTGAAAATGAAGAAGTATGTAATACAAACCAAGGGAAATGACCTGATTTTAGTGAGGAGAGTTCTCATTTGTTTGCTTTTTTTTTTTCTTTTGAAACAGATAGTATTTTAGGTGCCACTTCCCCAAAACTGGTGCATTTAGATTCACGAATGTATCAGAAACATTTTTTTTCTGCTCAACAGATGTGGCTGAGTGAGACCAAGGAAAAAACTGATGTCCCTTTTGAAGGCTTTGGATAACAAGTAACATGAGCACTTGCTGTGTGGTCTTGGGAGATCATAGAAAAAAGGGAATTGTCAAACCTGGCAGTCAGCAAAGAAAAGCTTAAATCTAAATTTCTTTATTCACGCAAGAAGTGGGTTTGAGGTTTTTCATAAATGTGGATAGTAACACCTGGATTCAGTGACTGTTTCATCATTGTTCTGTGTTTTCTCCCAGAAATTCTGAGGTCATGTCACTTGTACTAGTGGAATGGAATTAATACACAATATTAAGAGCACTGTGCCAGAATTACTAACTGTCCTTTCCCTCTCTGCACAGTTGCTACCTAAGTGATGTCAGTAATATTTCCTGTGAATCCTGTCTCAGTGTCTGACCAGAGCTATTACTGTCTTGGAGATGCTCAGCATCTTGGTGTTCATCTAATGTAGAAATCAACTTAGCATAGAAGTAGATTGTGTTACATGTCTCAGTAGTCTACGAGGCACTCCCAGTCAACAGCCCTGGATGCGAGGTGTGAATAAAGTGGTGGCTGTTAGCTGTTATTCTGAACAGAAGAAAATAATTTTATAAAATGAGGAAAGCTGTTATGTAATAGCTTTGTAGTGGTTTGTCTAACAAGCAGGAATGCAGGTTCTGTGTTGCGCTTGCATTTCAGCACATCCTGAAGCTTATGAGAGGTACTGGGTGTATCTTCTGCCCTTTTGATTAGGATTCTCCCATACCTTTCATAGGACTGGAAAGATTAGTGAAGCTGAGTTGGTGGCTCAGTGACAAAGAATTCACTTGAGAGGAAAGCAAATACATGTCACATCAGGCATGTTGTTACTTTTAGGGGGGGAATGGGTAAGGTGAAAGTAATGAAACGGACTACAAGAAGTTAGATGTGTCTTAGCATTGCATTGTTACATAAGTACAGCTTCTGATTTTGAACTTTAGCTGCCTGAAGAAATTTACTATGAGGAATTTGCCATTGGATACTGTTCCACAGGCTGTATGAAATGACCGTAGGAGATTCCACAGAATCCAACTTGAAATTTAACTACTCATCACCCTCTACTCCCTTCTGGTTCACTCCTTTTATTTATTTATTTTCTTTTGGTTGTTCTTCCTAGTGTACAGTGACTGCTGGTAGTTTACTCTTTTCTATGCTATCACTGGCAAACAAGTTGCATTAGCTATGTCCCATTTATTTGTTGTCTTTACCTTCCTAGGAATCCTTTCTTCAAATTAAGCATAGCATTTAAAGTTTTAATCAGTGTGTGATTTCTTGCATCATCTAGTAGAATGTTAGAGGGATAATTAGTTACTTTACTCAACCCTCTGAATTGCTGCTATGTAATGTGTTTGTTCTTTTGTCCCTGATCCTTTTTTCTCTGTGTGTGTGTGTGTGTGTTTGTGTTTAGGTGTTCATTTTGATTTTTTTTACCTGCTTGACCCAGACTGTATCTTAGCACTAACTAAAGTTCAGTATTCTATGTTGAATTTAGAGTCAAGAAATTAAGACCTTGCTGTTCAGCATAGTTCAACTGTGTTGCTGGCTCCACTTGTAAGGTATTTCTGCACAGTATAATATATAGACAGTATTGGCACTGTCAGGCTGTTAATCATCTGTATGACAGCAGGTCAGCATTGCAAACTAAACTAAGCTTGGCTACTTGAATTCAAGAATCTAATATATTACCCCTGAAGTAAGACGTGCAGTCTGGATTGAATAGTCCCAACTGTATTTTTTGTCATGTTGTCTGCTTTGTGTTGAACACAGCTATTCTCCTTTAACTATTCATTTTCTTTAAAGGAAGCCAAGATAGCGTGCACCTGAAGGTTACTTGAACTAATCTATGACAGCTGTTCACTTGAGTGAAGCTGGAATATTTGAAAAGCTGAGCAATTGCTTACTGGGTTTTATGAAGATTCTGTGTTCAGGTAAGCTTTGAAACAAACTTCCCTCATACTTCACCTGCTTTAGACTTTTAGCATCTGGAATTAAGCACTGGAATTTGGCAGTAATCAAAAATTGGTTATTATATGTGTTGAACAAAGTCTTACAAATTTGTCTACGGGGTGTGCATATTTTTTGCTGTCATTTCCCTAGAGAATAAGTGCAATATCGTCTCACCACCTCTATCTTTGAGTATCTTTTTTTTTTTTGCCCCTTTTTATCCTGTCAACTGTCTTAAAACTAACCTGTGCCCTTTTGAGTACACCATTGTGATTTTGATGTTACATTTCTGGGTTTGTTGTTGTTGTCACAGTGGAGTATTTATTATTCATATTAGACCTCAAATGGAAGTACTGAGGTTCAGTTAATGGTCCTGTAGACTGCAACCTTAATTGCTCAGAGGCACTGTTTGAGGAAGCAGTGTACCCTGAGGACACTATGTCCTTAAAAGGATAGGAAAATTGAGTCCTTAGCACGGTATGGTTTCTGTCCAAGAAATGTATTCAGGTCTTGCTTAAATAAGAACACGAGACACTCTGTGCTTCTTGCTGTGGTGCTATTCCTTGTTACCGTGGATGTGCAGAATAGTTGTCAGAAATAAGAACTTTGTGGTATCTCACATTATCCAGAAAGTTTTTAAAAGTGCCTGTATTAGCTTCAGCAGAAGATTTGTTTGATGATTTACAGTTATGGGAGTGAAAATACGGCCTGTTAAATCTGTTGACATTAATTTCTGTTTTATTATAATCAAACTCAGAGCTTGGTAGGACTAAATCATAATGTGGAACTACAGCTCATACTTACAATACAATATTTTAAAAGTGACTTTGAAGAGAGAAAGAGCTCGTGCCTGTGTGGAGAAGATGATCAGTGTGAATAATCTAGCATTCCTAATGCAGAGACATTCAATATATTAATAACATATGAACAATAAATAGTAATAGATATCAATAATTTGTGATTGTTTAATATCTTCCAGGTTATTGGAGATGGTGATTTGAAGAATAAGATTTCCGATATGAACAAAGTAAAAGCATCATCAGAAAAAAGGTGAGCTTAGTGACCTCTCAGAATCAAGACATTTGAGGTTTGTAAAGAAGCAGTCTTTATGTTAAATAAAATATTGTTTATCCCTTATGAGAGTGAGTTGATATTCTGCTCTCCCTCTACTCTGCCCTGGTGGGATCACGCCCAGAGCACTATTCCTTCTGAGGAAGTTTACATTGATTAGCATAACGTAACTTCACTTTTAACACATAATTTTTCACACTTAAAATGCTCCAGCAGTTATTCTCAGATATATCCATATGTATGTTAATATGCATTTTATTTCATTGAAAGAAATAGCAATGAATTTCATAATTTCATGCAGGTACTGGTGAAACATACAAAACATTTTTACTGAAGGAATTAAAGGATAACTTTATAATACTGCACAGGAAGTCACAAAATGTTGTTATACAACAATTCTACAATCCAACAGCACGAGCAAATGAAGTTACAGAAGAGTTTGTTACTTTTCTGATAGCTCATCTTAACATTTTAAAAAGCTATGTGATTAACAGTGGAAGACCATGTCACAGTTACACAACATCAAGAAACTGCTAAAGGACTTTCAGTTTTATTCTTTTCTTGAGCTAGCACAGGTTGAACCATTTTGTTTCATCAAACCATCTGATCTGGTGTTTTAGAAAAATTCTTAGTGCAGCAAAATAGGCTTTTTTGGCTTCAATCATAGTCCTCTGAAATTCCAGTTCTTTTCTAAACGAGTGAACGAATTTGTGAGAAGTACTTGCTGTGCTCTGGATAAATCTTATATCTTGGGGTGGATTTAAAATTTGTAAGAGGGTTATATAAAAATTTAAGTGAAAACATTTAGATTAGTCTTATGATTTTTTTCTTGTAGTAACATCATCTTGATGTTAAAGACTGATTATTCTTGATTGTGCAAAAGTTGTAACCAAAAAAACAGTAAAGAAACTATTGCTTAGGATGTATCAGTTTCTTAGACATTATCATATGCAGAGTCAATCTCTTAGCCATGGATGTTCTTGGAAACATTACTGACTGTAGTACATAAAGTATTTAAAGAAAATTATATTTTTGCAGAATGGCCACTTAAGTTTTTTTTTATTATTATTTTTCTTTCATTCCCTGTAACTGAAAATAATTTTTCCCTAAGTCATACACACACAAAAGTGATTGATTGTTTCCAGAGATAACAGTGAACCAATCCAGAATATCATCTTTCTAAAGACAGTGGTAACTGGGGATGGTTGAAAGGAAAGTTAGTTTTGGAAATGGTTAGATTAGATTAAAAAAAGAAGGGGGTTTGGGGAGGAAGAGGGGAGGGAGAATTCTACCTTACTTTAAATCAACTTTTTGCAGGCACACTGGATTTACTGCACATAGCATGCTGGAATGCACAAGGCTTTGCTGTAGAGAAAGAAAACATTTCCTCATATGTAAATGTATTGGCTAGCAGCAAACAGTGATTTCAGAGAAAGTAAATACAGTCGGGAAACTGACTTCCTCCATTTGACTGTTATTTTGGAGGACTTCTTAAAGATGAGTAGCCTAAAACTATTCTGAGATAACTGATGTTTGATTACAGCTGTGACAGATGTTAGTTATCTTTATCATCTTGAGCAGACACTTAGGTGTTTGCACATAGTTTGGTAAAAGTGCTACACAGTGGGTAATGGCGAGTTGTGCATCTAGTACTTTTTCATAATCACAGTAGGAATGCTTAAACATTATGGAGGTTGGTGGGGCTGGAATGAACGTCACTGCAATGAAAGGACTTACTTAGAAAAGGTGTTTTCTTGTTGAGCAAGTTGTTTTTCACGTATTGGCCTCTGCAGTCCACTCTTTGCTGTATGGGTAACTGCTCCCATTGTACAGACCACTTGCAGTACATACAATCAAAAACGTCTGCTAAGCTTCATTTCAAGATGCTTAAAGCAAGGTTGCCTAGATCTTTCCCAGAAGTTGTTTGTTGGCTTAAAAGCTCATGGGTTTTAGGCTAAGTGCAGAAGGATGGAAATAGCAAATGTAGTTCTTGTGTCTGTGAAAGTGAGGGAGAAGAAACTGTAGATCAGTCGCTTCTGGTCTTTGCATAGGTTTCTGGAAGAGTTAACAAAACAGGTGATGCTTTCAACAGGCAAATGTGTTTTGAGATGTCTTGAGAATTTATCTCGTGTTTCATGTGGGGAATAGTTCCTATGAGCAGGGCATAGGCATTAAGTAGTATGTACATATTATTTTAATGAAGTTTTAGACATCTCTGTGTATGATACTGCCATCAGGAAGATAAGGCTGCTTCTCCATTTAAGTATCCTAGAGTACAGCTGTGACTGAAGTGGTAGCAGTCATTCACTATCACAAAAAAAAAAGGTGCAGAGTTTTTCTGGATATGCTTTTTTTTTTCTACTGGTTATAACTGAATGAAAATACTATGAGGTTCAGCTAATGAAGTGAAAGAGAGGAGTACTTCTTAAAATTGCAGACAACTTGTATCTCAAAAGATCTGCAAAACATTGAAGGAGACCAAATGACTTCAAGGTACTTTTGTGAAATGCAGAAAATGGTTTTTAACTATTTGATGGAAATATTTGTGCAAGATATTATATGTCAAGAGGAATATTATTAGGACAGATAAAGAACAGTAGGTATTCATATTTGTAGTGAGGAAGGACAGAAATATTAAGGTTAAACTACAGTGATCAAAACTTTAAAGTTTGCAAAGCTTTACAGTACAGTTGTCTTTGTTATTCTGTCACTGTTTTTGCAGGCCATTAAGGACAGGTTGATTGTATATCTATCAGGAAGAGCAAACTATTTTGCTTATATTCTTGAGAATAGTGTCAGTGACCTCACAAAGCTTATTCTGGTGTACTGTAGCTATGACTTTATAACTGGAAATAGTGGAAGCTATGTAAGCCTCAGTAACTATGGAGTGTTCTTACAAGAAAGTTTTACAATGGGTGAGGTAAAAAAGAAAAAGTCTCTTTTAAACAGAATGGTTCTTTACACTGTGGGAAAACTAGTCTCTTACAAAAGGCTGGCTGCAATGTTAAGGATGTTCTTGTGAGATTCTGTAATGTCAGCAGCTTAAAGTGAAATCTAGTTTGACAGTACACAGTTACTATTGTGCCACTCTGATTACTTCTTTGTTTTACCTAGCTGTTGGATTAAGAACACTGAATTCCTTTATTTTGAAGAACTCTCTTCTATATCTATATATCTATATATCTATATATCTATATATCTATATATCTATATATCTATATATCTATATATCTATATATCTATATATCTATATATCTATATATCTATATATCTATATATCTATATATCTATATATCTATATATCTATATATCTATATATCTATAGAGAGATACTGGGTTGCTTATTTGACAAGATATATGTATTTACATTTCAGGTACCTGAAAGGCTTCCACAGTAGATTAGGACTGCATTTTGTTCTCACAGTGATGCTGTGCACAGGAGTAGTCGGTCAGGCTGGCTATCATAAATTGTGTCCTACAACCCTTTCAATTTACAGTACAGGCGTTGAAAGCTATTACAGTATTATGTACCACTAGGTATATTAGTGTAGAATTTAACAGAAGTCTAATTCCTACTTTAAGGAGGAAAAACTCAGTCTTAGAAGAGGAATTTGATTCATATTTGAGTGCAGACTCTAGTACTGCTATCATTTTCAAGAATGCTTAACTGGGTGTTGTGAAGATGTATAATCTATTTGGCTATATTTCTGCTCAAGGACTTCTTGCAAAATGAATAGCCTAAAACAATTTTCAACCTAACTGTTAGCACTGGTTGCTCTTACTAGAAATTCTAGCTCCAGGAGAAGATTATACCTCTAAATTGTTGGAATTAAATTGTTATAGTAGCCTACAGTGAGGATTATATACCCTTCCTAGCCCCCTCAAAGCTTTTGCTAAGTTTAAAGGTATTATGTTAGGTATTAACTGTCTCTAAGTGGTATATTACTTCCATGTACCAGTGCTGCTTCTTGGCTAGAATAGAAGGAAGAAATCAGATTTGCTTTGAAGTGGTTATTTCTTTAAATTAATTTTATATTTTGAACAACTTCTGTTTCTTCTTTCATTTTGTTGCTATCCATAGTAGTTTCCTACTTGGCAACTGGAGGTGTTTCACTGTTAGACTAATGGTGTAACAAAGCAGTGGTTACTTGCACACCCTCCCTCCCCTGCCCACCAGCCATAGCTTCTTTTTGAGTTAGCTGGGTGCTTTCTTGTTTCATTTTGGAGCTGGTGAAGTTAATGTCCTTTCAAAGTCTCTCTGTATATTAGATTGACAGGATTTGGGTTAATTTTGAAGTGTTTTGAGTTCAGTGAATAAACAGAGGAGTAAAAAGAAGCAGAACAAAGCTTAGGCATATAATTGTTGCTTTATTACTACTATTCAACCTGATATTGGGTGGTGAGAAAGAACTGGAAATGATTATGCTTTAATCATACACATTATGTGATAGTTGAGGAAGACATGTATTTTAGATCAAAAAATACTCTTAAATTGAAGTCTACCAAATGATGTTGATTTAAGCTTTGTAATTAGTTTTGCTGCTCCTTACTACTGATTTTAAAAGATTATAAGTATCATCTATAATCTGAAGGGTTTTTTAAATTATGCTGCTTATTTAGATGTCAGTGTGGGAAAGTAATAGTTTTGGAAACATTTTCCTCAACAACTATTACTGGTTTGCTTTCACAGATGCATGACCTTTGCTGTTAGCTGTCTTTTTTTTTTTTTTTTTTTTTTTAAAAAAAAAAAAACCTTGATTTTAACATTTTTGTCTGTATGTGAACTAATTTTTTTTTAACAGGTGATAGCTTATGAAGCCTTTTTACACATAGAAAATACAAATGAAGAAGTAATTCGCATTATTATAAGAGATACTGGCTGACTATTTATAAAGTCAATCTTATATACTTCCACTGCAAGCAGTCAGGACTGTGTGTGTGTGTGTGTGTGTGTGTAACATGATCTGTTGTTGACTGTTGCAGAATTTTAATTATACAAATGTGTAGAGTTACTTTTGTTTCTCCTTCAAAGTAATCTCCTCTATTTAATTGTATGACTATAATTCAAATGTTAAAAGTTTGTCTAAAAATCACTTTCTTATAGAAATATGAATCTGAAAACTATTCTAAATAATTGTTATAGCCTGAAACTGAAGAGGGGATAAAATGTCTTCTAGACAAACTTTATTTTGGCACTATAAATATTTACATTCTTTCTTTCTGTGTAATCTACCTGTCTTTATAAATAATTGATGTGAAGTACATTTGCTAGGCAAGTAGTGATATTAAACATTCTATGTCAAAACAGGCCAAAACACTCCTTGTGTTCGAAACAAACCCAAACTCTGATCATACATCTAGGGACTTCCTGAAGTTTTTTTTTTGTATTTTTTTTTTTTTTTAACTTAAAATGGAAGTCTTTAGCTAATGAACACTGGCTTACTTATGAATGATAATCTTTTTTTTCATTTCAGAAAGACCAGCCTGTAAGAAAACTAGTCATAGAAACTGCCAGGAGCCGTCAATTTTGCTTCTGTCACTGCTAATACACTCCACTCACCTCTTCATTATGCTTACACCCACTAGTTGGTCTCCACAGATGTTCAGTAAACACTGATGAGCATCAGTGGGTTTTGAACTGTGTTTTTTCTACGTGTATTACCCACCTTTGCTTCATACACACTTCTGTTTCAGACTGCCTCTCTGTTGCCATTGGTTGCATGGCAACAAAGTGTAACATAATATTGGTGGGAATGTTCAAAGGCTGTTGCATTACCACCAGCACCTACTTGTAGGTCATGGAGCAGTATAACAGTTAGGACACTTTTGGAGCAGCCCTTGTGTGAAGAAGTACACCTGTTTTCCAATCAGTATAAACTACAGGAGGAAAGTAGATGTGCTGTGTACTCTTCACATGGGACTTCTGGGACTTCTGCTTTTAGTGTTTGGGTTTTTCTGTTGTTGTTGTGGGTATTTGGTTTTTATTTATTTTCTGATCTAGTATTTGATAACATGCTTACTGTTAATATATAAATGAAGATAAAAAAATCTTTCTTTTAGTGTTTCTACCAGTTCTCGGACTATGTCTTTGCTGTCACAGCTGGAGAAGATCAATTTGGACTCTGTATTGGGAGAAGCAGATAATGCCAGATATGTTACTGCAAAGATCCTTCATTTGGTCCAGAGTCAGGGTAAACAATTGAGTTTTTTCTTTCTAATAGTTTTCCCTTTGAGCCTTCCTCCTTCTGTTTCTCACTTGCTGGACTTTTAATTTTTGCTTCTACTTGCTGAGCTTTATTATCTATCTGTTTCTGTGATGGATTTTTCTGAGACCATGCTTAATGTTATCTGGTATAGTACTGGTTACACTGAATACATTTTGTATTGTCAGTACAGCATATTTTTTGTAATTTATATTGTACATAAAGTATAATATATATATGCGCAGTTATTTAAGTAATAAGTTTAATTGTAAGGACACTTAACTTGATACTGTTGTATGTGATACATGGTAAAATATTTAGCTGCTCCAGGTAAACTGATATAAAAGAAAGTGTTCTTCTTTTAATAAATCATAGAATCATTAAAGTTGGAAAAAGAGATTATCTTTTTTTAGAATTAGAGATCATCTGGTTAAGCTGTCTACATATCACCAGTGTACCCACTAATCATGTTCCTAAGTGCCACATCTACATGTTTCCTTAACATCTCCAGAAATGGTGACTCCACCATGTCTCTGAGCAGTCTGTTTCAACACCTCACCACTCCTTCTGGGAAGAAATTTTTCCGAATATCCAACCCGAACTTCTCCTGCTGTAACTTAAAGTCATTACCTTTAGTTCTGCTACTGGTTATGATGGACCCCCGTATCCTCTCCTCCTCCTTTCATTGAAGGACGTAATTGTAGAGGGCAGTAAGGTTTCCTCTGTGCATCCTCATCTCGAGACTGAACAATGCCAGTTTCCTCAGCTGCTCCCCACAAGACTTGGTCTCCAGATCCTTCACAGCTTTGTTGCTCTTCTGTGGGCATGCTCCAGGGCCTCAGTATCTTTCTCATAGTGAGAGGATCAAAACTGATACTTGGAAGAATATCTTCATATGAAAAATAAGTTATTTACTTTTAAAATGATTCATTTTTAGTTTTAATACTGCTGGGAGGTGATGTGTTACCACAGTAGACTAATATACTGAAGTTGCATCCTATTTACTTCCATGGAAATGACAACAGATATAAAGAGCACAATAATACTGTGTGAAGAGGAAATTCTCAGCTACAAAATACTATTTTTCAGCATTTTTACCATTGATGAGCAAGAGCCTGCATGCCACACTCATAAAAATGTGCTATTGGTGGAGATGTTCTGCTGTCACTACTGCTGGAACACACCACCCACTGTACTCACATCCACTGTTTGGTCTCCATACTCAGCAAGTATCAGTCAGCATTATTTTTTCCACATGGAGGAATTCAGTGACACACCTTTGCTTCATACACACTTCCATGTCAGGCACCATTTTGTCACACTGCCCCTCTGCTTCCATCTGTCACACAGCAACAAAATGTAACAGAATATTGGTGGGAAGGTTCTGCTCCACTGCCATACCATAAGCATCCACTTGTGATGTCGTGGGCATAATGGATAGGAGGCATTACTTTCAGAGCACCCATCATAAATGATTCTGAATTGAACTTGTATTGAGTTGCAGCTGCTTTTGCTCTGCTTCTTACTTTGTCTTTCAACTATTGTTTATTGCTGGTGCTTTTCAGGCTATCTTCACTTTTCAGAATGTCTTAAATTTTATGTTCTATCTGAAGACAACAATGTCTAATAGTATAATACGAATCACTACAGTAGCTAATACATTGAAACAAAAACTGCCTCTTTCTCACTGACAGAAAAAACCAAGAAGGAGATGACTTCTAAGGGTTCCAGTGCAATAGAAGTTATCCTGTCAACCCTAGAGGTAAAACCTTTAAATCTCTTTGTTTACTTGGATGTTTCAGGTTTTCGTATTATAATTAGGTTTGGTATTATTAAATATGTAGTTATTCTTCTTTATCTCTAATACTTGATTTTTTCAAAGAATTATAATGATTAGGTAGGGTCTTGAAGCATTGTACTTAATACTTCATTATTTCTCTCCCCTTTTTTTCTCAAATATTTCTGTTAATGTGTCATATTAAGAAATAGATATTAGTGGGTTTTATGGTTAAAATAAGGTAGGATGGTTATAAGGGCAGTAACATTTGATGTTCTGTTTGATTTTTTTGTGAAAAATTTTCTTTGAGCTTCAGATATCTAAGACAATACAAGATTTCTAAATCAAGCAAAGAAATATGTCTGATTTCTGTTGCAGAATACAAGAGATCCTCAAACTATTCTAAATATATTGAATATCCTCATTGAATTAGTCTCAGTTGGTAAGTGTTTATTAACAAACAGTGATTGTACTCTCACGTTCTTCTGCAGAATTGTTTATTAGTTTATTTATTTCCCCCTGAAGTTTGCTAAGACTATATGCATTCTGTGCTTTGGGACAATCAAAAATACATAAAGAATGAAGTGACTTTTCAAATACTCTTTCATCCATAAGTAATTTCTGTTGCTATAAGTCCAAGATAAGCGTGCATTTACACTTATGCAGTAACCTTTGAAGAAAATATTGCTACAGGCATTGCTATTGCAAGTCTTTTTTTCTGATAATTATAGTTTAGATATTTAACTATTCTTTGGCTATGACAGCCTCAAATGAGTTGTGATTACCAGGTGGTGGTCGGAGAGCAAGCATCTTGGTCACCAAAGGAGGGACACAGATCTTGTTGCAGCTGCTTTTGAATGCAAGCAAAGAATCTCCACCAAACGAAGAATTAATGGTGCTTCTTCATACCCTTCTTGCAAAAGTTGGTCCAAAAGGTAATAATGAACACATTTAAGTAACTTCGCAGTTTTGTAGTGGAAACATAATAATTTTTTTCCCCTTTTTTACTGTCAAAGCATCCATGTACTCAGAGGTGGTTGAGGAGAAAAAAAGGAGGACTAGATTAGAGGGGAGGAAAAATTTATAAAAATAGACATGCAGAGTTAAGTTGTCTCTTGAAAGAATTGACAGTTCGTTTAACTTTCATATTTTAATGATAATTTCAAAACTGATTTGATTGATCTGATTTTTTTTTTTTTTATGTCAGACAAAAAGATTGGCATGAAAGTGAGAATTAATGGTGCCCTGAACATAACATTGAATTTAGTGAAGCAGAATTTGCAGAACCATAGGCTAATATTGCCATGTCTTCAAGTGTTAAGAGTTTATTCAACTAACTGTAAGTACTGCAGATCACTCTTTCCCTTGTGATTCCATTTTTTTTTTTTTTTTTTTTTTTTTTTTTTACACAGACATGGTTAAAATATAGCATCTGAATACTTGTTAAATGGTTAGTCACTATGTTACCCAAGAATTTGATTTTTATATTCTCAGCTTGCTTAAAGGTCTAGTCAAATCTATGAAGCATATGTATTCTTCTTGCATATCTTTGTTTTTTTGTTCAGTGTACAGCGAGTTTAACTCATGTAATGAACTATATGCAACTTGATGGCATAAATGCTGACACTTTATTATCTGAACCAGGAATGCTCACATTGTACATGCAAAAATACTTCTATACATGTCATGAGTTTTTGCTTTTCACTGTATTTTTACTTTAATTCATGGCTGCTAAGTTAAATTAGGAATTTACTTCTATTTAAGCTTTCCCTTGTTTTCTGTGTATCTGTCCTACAGTTGAACTAATACTATTCCATAAAAGCCTAATTGATTGTCTGTGTGGATAGTAGGAAGTGGTGAAAATAGAGTGGTTTGTTTGTATGGATAGTAGGAAGTGGTGAAAATAGAGTGGTTTGTTTGTGTGGATAGTAGGAAGTAGTGAAAATAGGGTGGTTCTTACTCTACCTCTCCTCAAATGTGCTGAAGATTTTTCTGTTTCGCTTGAAATGGCCATTTAGCCTTTTAAATGCATGTCTGAAGGTGAAAACATAATCACATTCCTCAGAGAGAGTTGACTTGATGCCCTCTAAGATTAGCATGTAGAATTTGTAAAGACCCAATACTTTGTGTGGAAGCTTTGTTTCCTTTGAGCTGTAAGGTAATGAGGTGAAATACTTTTAAATGGGAAAAGTTAATAGAACTAATCATGTAGCTTAGGTAAAAACTTACTTTAGCCTGAACATAGGAGTCTCTGTTTCAGATTCTGCTAAGATCCTATCTATCTTTCTGTATTTCTCACCCTTTACAAGCAGGAAAAGTAGTAGTTTATTTCAGTTTGCTGGGTAGCATTACATAAGGGTTCTTTCTGCTTGCTGCTAGAATGGAGTGCTAATTTTAATTAACTTAACAGTATTATAGTAGTGCTGCTAGTGATGATGACTTTGCAAGTTGCTTCAAGTACTGAATTTCACAAATGCAGCATTTATTATGTTTTCTCTCTACTTAGTTGCGGTCATCTTATTTTGCTAGGACTGTGTCTTACTGAGCTTATTTGGCAATTTAATTCCTGTGCTTGTATAGGCTATGCAGTGTGCGTTCCTTGAACAACAATCTCAGTACTATTCTCTTAATTAGTGCCTTTCTCACTCTATTATTATTATTTTTTATTTTCTGAAAATCTGCATGCAGAACATTTGGTTCAGGAAAGATTAAGTGGGGCAATGCTGGTTGGCATTTTTGTCTTTTACAGCAAATGCTTGACTTTCAGATACTGGTGTGTAAACCTGTTTAACCTGGTGCTAAAAGAAATTATCAAATCATAGATCCTAGTAGTCTCAAAATTTTAGATAGCGTGGTGTCTCAATAAAATGTGGAAATATTTTTTTCCATAAAGAAAAAATCATTTCAGTGATTTATCTTAGTAACAAAGGAATCAGAAGCATGCACTAGGAATAGTGTTTGATTTTATCTGTAAAGCAGTAATATATTTTGTTTATTTTGTTTTTTTATTTTGAAAGTTTTATAAGGATTGGGTCTGTACAGTGATTGTGTGAATAGTAGCGTCAAGTTGTGATGAGCATTCTGTGTTTCGGAGTGTAATTGCCCGGATGCTAGTTTGAGTATATTGATTTTCTTTTGCCTTTCTTGTTGTATTGTATTAAAATGTTGTTGTTGTTGTTGTTTTTTAACTTCCAGCTGTAAATGCAGTGTCCTTAGGAAAGAACGGAGTGGTTGAACTGATGTTTAAGATCATTGGACCTTTTAGTAAAAAGAACACTAGCCTTATGAAGTAAGTAATGTTTCTTTGTATAGTATTTGAAACAAACTTTTACATGTTTCAAATTCTTTAATGAGCAGGAATATTAGAGATATCAGCTGCAACTTACATTTGTGATTTGAAAAGATTTGAGAAGGAGAGCTACAAAGCTGACTGTTTTATCCAGTAGAGTAACGCAGAATATTTTATTGTCTGGTTACCATCCATGTAAAAGAGTACAAATGTTATTTTTTACCTCCAGTATTCCTGCAAGCAAGCTGTACATGTGCTACCTGCTATCCTGATATAAGAACAAACTGATCAGGACAATCCCATCAATTTTTGTCTGTTGAATTGGCTCCCAAATCTTCTTTGTGATTTAGGGTTGCATTAGTGTACCAGGATTTTGTGTACTACATTAAAGCAATTAATAAGCACCATCATCTGCCAGGATAAATAGGATGTAAAAACAAATAAAATTCTTTGGGTACTTTGAAATGGTGGCATTAGGTATTTTAGGTATTTTATTCTAAACTTATCCTTTTTTGTGGGTGGGTTTTTTTTTTGTTGTTGGTGGTGGTGGTTTTTTTTTTTTTTTGGGTGTGTGCAAGGGAATGTGGGTATGGAGAAGTTAGGATAAAAACAAGTAAGTGTATCTTACTGAAAATAGCCTTTTCATTACATACTAGGAAAGGTTCTAAACGCATACCTGTGCGAAAACTAATTTTTTCTCTGCTTAACAAAATAATAACTTATTGTTGTTCATATTCTGTGTTATGTTATCTAAAACAGATGATACTTGTGGTCAGTGGAGTATGTTTAAAAAAACAAGCACTACCCCTTTAAGCCCCAGCTAAAATTAAACACATGAACTTACTATTCCATGATGTGAGTAATCTTGATATCCTTGTTTATAGCCTGAGTTCAGATGTGTGAAGTCTATCCTTACAAAGAGGGTAAAAATAAGTATGTAAGTTTTCTAGTTGTACATCTTGAGTGAGTTGAGACAAGATGTTAATGTGCAAAAAAACCTTGTGTGATCTTTTACTGTAGTACAGATTGATGAGCAGTACGCCCCTATATTCATAAACTGCCCATTTTGTCTGATGGTTTTCTAAAGCAGTGTCTTTTATTTTACAAAATACTTACTCTACTGCTAATATAAAAACATAGATCTTAGAGGTATCGATTGAAATATAGCTCATAAAGATTGCATTGCCACTTAATACTGTTTCTTGCAGAATGAGCGCTTATATAGTGTGATTTTTTAAAATTTCACCATCAGATTTCAGATATAAAAAAGATATTTTAATAAAACGAAAATTGTAAGGCCAAGTCTGTGATATAACGCAACCAGGAAAACATTTAGGTAGATGCTAAAGAAATCTGTTAGCTGTACTTTTTTTTTTTTTTTTTTTAATATAGCTTTGCAATGTTGTAGATGAAGTTCACCAGCTGTTTGTTGTTTGACTGTTCTTGTTATGTTGACAGGGTTGCTTTAGACACACTTGCTGCATTGCTAAAATCAAGTAAGTTTTTGACTACAAGAAACTATTTGTCTAGTTGGGATATACGTATGTGTATAAACGTATAGATGTGTGCTTATATAGAAAAAATAGTAGAATTAGTACTAAGTCTATGGCCAAAACAAAGTAATGGATATGACATTCAAAAATAAAGTTAGAGTTTTATCTCCAGTCTCTGGTACAATTTTTCTTTGGTGTGTATATATATTAGCTACTGTTTCTACAGTTTTGCAGCAGAAATGTTGCACAACTTCTACAGAATTGGTCTGGATGCAAGATGGAGAAATAGCCTTTTGTATTCATTCCCCTCAGCTCTTAAGACAAGAGATCTATAGCTTGTCTCATATGATCTTCTTCATACAAATATTTGAAAATATCTATTGGATGCCAGGGAAAAATAGAGTTTCTTTCTGTACCTTTCTGATAAACAGGATGTTAAAGATAAGCCTGTTGGTGATGTCCATGAAGTGCTACCAGGGGTAACAAAACAATGACCTGTTCTCAGACACTGGCTGTGTTGGCTGATGGCAGTGGATAACTGACAAATGCCATCGCTGTTGATTTTGTACCAGGTTATAACTGACAAGGGATTAAAAACATTATTCCATAAAAGATACAGCATTCTTAGTTGTTCTAGTAGAGTTTGGTAAGAGCTAAAGCATGCTTATATTTTCAGAAGACTATTTCAGACATACAAGAGGAAAAGACTGTGCTGCTTATTATGCAGTACTGAATTCTCTTGGGTTTGATCAGAGTGATGCTTAGGTGTTACGGATTTGTGTGTTTACTAATATGGGGGTTCCTCTTGGGGAAATTCAGGAAAAGAAATATTTATGAATTTCTGGTGTGTAGAGTGCAGCTGGCAAACTGATTACCCAATTCATGTGTTGTATTTGGGGTTCAGGTGTTTTTGTGAGTGATTATTGCTGCAGTACCACACGGATTACAAACAGCAGGGAAGTTTGTTTTACCTGCTGTGCTTACACTATGTTTGGATAAACATTTTTTTAAAATTTGCTATCTGACATTGCCTTACAGTTACCTTTCTGTGTAATCCACATTGTTCTTCTGATAAGCTGTAGAAATTACTTGGAATATTATTCTGAAGAAGGAAGTATAGGATATTAGAGCTGATCATTTAGTTGGTTTTCATTGGAGTAGTATTTCCTGTGCTTGCTCTTTAAAATGATACTTAATTATATTGTATGTTCTAGTTAAGGTTTTTCTAGTACTTTTTTCCAAACTCACGTTCTAATTTGGATTTTAATTATTAAAAAAAAAAAAAAAAAAGCAGTCTGAAAATTATCAACTTTATTTCCATCTTGGAGCAAGAATAACTAGATACTAGATTCTGGATACTGGATTCATTTTAACAATGTAGAAATACGTATGGAAATTTTCCTAATCACTTCTTTATTAATAATATTTTGCCCATTATATATTCTGTTATACACTTTGATATGTATACTTCCTGACTATAAAAGTAGTTAAACAAAAAGTTCTCTTCCATGGCTGATGTATTTGTGGCTTAGAATGAGTTAGTTAAAAGTTTGGCAATACTGACAATCACAGAGGAAATAAGGCTTCTAAGAAATGTTTTGAAAATATGGAAACAAACTTGCTAGAATTTTGATTATTACTTTGATATAATGCACTGCCAAGTGTGGCTGAAGTAATGCCTTCGATGAAGTAGTTCAGTACCTTGTGTAAAAAATCACTTAAAGATAGGAAAGTATTGCTGAAGATGTAACAATATTGGAGTAATTGCTGAGTTTTTAATTTACTTTCCTCTTTTTTTTTAATAAAGAAACAAATGCCAGGAGAGCAGTAGATAGAGGATACGTACACATGCTTTTAACAATTTACGTTGATTGGCACCGTCATGATAGTCGACACAGATATATGCTGATACGTAAAGGAGTTTTACAGTGCATTAAGAGTGTAACAAACATCAAATTGGGAAGAAAAGCATTCATTGATGCAAATGGGATGAAAATTCTTTATAACACTTCACAAGTAAGTTTCTCTTTTCTGTCGTTGCTGTTCTTGTTCTTTTTGTCTCTTAGGAATTAGAAACATATTCTGACTTTGAATTTATTGTTTTTTTTTCTGATATTCATGTTCACTCCTGATTGTGAAGGCAATGGTAGTTTTCTTTACCTATAGTAGAAGTCAAAGATACAGGATGAAATTTATATTTACTGTTACTCAGACACGATTGTTTCTGGGAGGAGTCTTGATTTTATTTATTATAAAAAGGAGTCTTCATTTTTAAGTCTGCATTTTGAAAAGATGAATCTGGGTTGACAGAAATTCTCCTTGAAAAGAGGCACATAGATATTTTTAAGTTAATTTCTAGCAAAATATTTTAGCTGTTAGGAGTGGATTTTAGAAACTAATGAAATTTACTACCGGTTTGTGAGATGCTCATTTCTTCATTATTTTTCTTTTAATAGGAGTGCCTTGCAGTAAGAACTCTTGATCCACTTGTCAACACATCCAGCCTAATAATGAGAAAATGTTTTCCTAAAAATCGTCTTCCTTTACCAACTATTAAAAGTGCTTTTCACTTCCAACTCCCAGTTATTCCTTCCAGTGGTCCTGTGGCTCAAATGTACAGTTTGCCTCCTGATGGTATGGTAATTTTGTAATGTTTTTCCTTTGAAAATGTCTAACACTCCTGTTTACAAAGTGTAATCAACTGAATTTATTTGTGATTTTTCTCTGCTAAAACCTAGGCTCTGATGAGATTCTTCTCTGCTAACAAAGATTCTGTGGCTCTTAGTGTGGAGCAACAATTTCTAATGTTAACCTTTAACTGATGACAGTTTTGTCTATGTATATGTGGTTATGTTTCTGGTGATACATAAAAATAGGAAATAAAGTGTGATCAAAATCTAAAATGTTCATCAAGCTCTGAAGTGTCAAACATCAACTGTGTGTATTCATCTCTGAACTTACCTAGACTCTCTTTTTAACTTATATATATTCAATGTGAAATGTAATACAGTATTACTAACTTTTATTTATTCTGATAAACTGAATGTACAGAATTTAGATTAACATGTATTTGATTTTAAATCAAAGTATTGATTTTAAATCATTGTGTTTCTTCCTTCTTTTACATGATGAGAAAAGTAGAACTGCTTTCTTGGACTGCTGCAGTCTTCTAGGCATCACTCATCTGTAAAATGTTTGCATGGTGCCTTGAAAGAAATACGTTCACCCTATTGTGCTTACCTCTTGTTATTTTGGGATAGTTAATGTTTAGTGCATTTTCAGATACAGGAAAACAGCTTAGTATTGGAGTAAGCAAATAATGAAGTTGCTGTGGGGAAGTTGCTCCAAAATAAAGAGGTGAAGTTAGCTTTTTTAGTGTTTTCTTATTGACAGTATTTTCTAAAATAAAGTGTAATAACAGCGTGGAAGAAGATGAATATTTATTCAGGGTTTGTATAGGAATGACTCAGGCTACAAGTGTTTAGAGTTTTGCTTTCAGAGTAGCAAGAGATCTAGAACTGTTGTAAAATCCACAGAAGTTATTTTAGTTTCTAACTAAGTTAGAAGTTGATCAGTAATTTCAGATGTCTAGAAAATAACGTCTTGCTGTATTTTTAGGGAGTAAGATTTCATTCCCAGCCTTTGTTACACAGGTGCAGTGACCACTCACCTTCAGTATTTTCCTTGCTGGTTTCTAGTGATAAGTTTTTGATTTCTCGTTAGTTAATATTAGATTCTTCTGGGCTTGTCAAAAATTGTGTACGAAGCACTTTGTACCACACTTCACTGGTTAGTACCAACTGGCATGACTGAAAGGTGCTAAGAACCTCAGATTTTTTTGGACATGCTCATAAGTACTGGGAAAAGGTTTCAGAGTCTTGTTTTGTGCTGAGCTCAAGTCATGCCATACATCTGCACTGTAAAATAATTCTGAAGGTCATGTTCTATTTTATGTTTTTGGGGGTGGAAGCTTTGGTTTTGCTTTAAGCCAAAGATTTTTGTTCTGATTTAAACTGGAATGAAATGTCCTAAATGGAGTCTGCAGAATTATCATACAAACATTTTGTTGGTGTTGGTTCTTTTTTGTTTTGTTTTATAAATCTGGTGATAATTATTAATATTTGCAAGGCTTTATGGGACCTGATGACTTTTTAAAATCAACTGGTAACTAGAAAGGAAAAAAAAACACCTTTTTTTCAAGTGTATCTATTGGTTTAAATGTGTAATCTGCCTTACAAAAACTTTTCATATTGTAGTGGATGATGTGGTAGATGAAAGTGATGACAACGATGATACTGAAACAGAATCAGAAATTGAAACTGAAGATGACAAGGACCAAAATTTTAAGGTTGGTATGAGACAAAACTAATGGGCATAAAGGAGGCATCGCATTTTGTTGTTATTATTACTTTTAAAATTTTTTTAATTGTTTATACAGCCATAGATTTACATACTGTGATAATGTTGAGAAGGTTTTCGGGGCAATTTGTGAAATTAAAATATGTGCTGAAACTTAGAATTTCCTTGAGAATGCCAGCCTTTGTTGCTCAATTTGCCTCAAGATTTTTTCTTAACCATATTTCCTCCGCACTTAATGTGACTTGAGTACAGTGGAGCAGAACACTGCAAAAAGTGTCTGTGAACCCTGCAGCATTGTTTGCAGGTGCAAGACACTGCAAGTCTTTCTGCAGCATTGTGCTCTCTACTTGAATATCTCCTAGCCCTCACTTCACAATTACCTACACAATGCAATTTGTAAGACATGCTCTAAGTTTTTCCCTTATTCTGGAATGAGATTGGCTAAGTCAGTGCTTCAGTAAGGTAACTTTAAAGTTCAGCCAGCTGTAGAGGTAGATTTAATCTCTACACTGCTTTATGCTTTTGGAAGGGCTTTTTCTTCTCCCCGTTCCAATAAGGATGTGAACGGATGCTTATTCAGAGCAGTCTTATTCTACATTTTTATGTTACGTATATTTGGGAGTTGGTTGAATTATCTGTCTATGGGCTGCAATGAGAACTTCTATTCAAGGCACTCATGAGATGTTGCAAGGAGTATTTTCCTCCATTTATACATTTGTCACTGCAAGTCGGATGAAATCTCCACATTTTGCAGGTTTTGTCAGGTTATGTGTAGATCTCATGTAAAGTGTAATCTGTGCATAATGCATTTGGGTGAAAGCAAGAAGGTTGTTCTATTTATGATGTTTCTACTAAAATAGAGGTTTAGACCTACCACTAAAATGAAGCTGCTTTTAAAGTCTTATGATGAAACGCACAACTCAACTAGTTTTAAAATAGTGATATCCCACTCTTAAATGGCCATGAAAGAAGAAAAACCTGAGTAACACTTTTTTTTTTTACTAATTTTACTAATATTACTAATATCACACTGATATTTTAGACGTTCATTAATCCTAGAAGCAAGACTAATTTGTTCTCTTTATTTTTCAGAATGATGATATTGAAACTGATATTAATAAACTGAAACCTAGACAGGAACTGGGACGACCCTTAGAAGAATTGAAAATGTATGAGCAATTTTTCCCAGAACTTACTGAAAACTTTCAGGTAAAGTACATGATTCTCAGTGCAGTTTTTACTGTGAGGAACTGGAATGCATTTTGATGTGTTTTTGTTTGTTTGTTTTAGTGGATAGCTACTCTAGTTAAGAAAGGGAGAGACAATTTATAGTTTTAGAGCTTTGTGTGGGGGGCTATATAGTGAATTATTTTGCTTAATGTTCTGTGTTACTTTATTCTGACTGAGAAAGGGATAGCAGGCAGATATAAATATTTAAACAATGTCTGATTATTACACACAGCAGATAGTAAAATAAGAAGGAAGGATATGAGATATTTTTGATGAAGTGTACTGTGCACCTATTGGCGTTAGCTAGTTGTAACATCTGGTGAATGGTATTCACTTGACTTTTTTTTTCTGATAAATTGCTTGTCTATTTTTTTTAACATATTTTTAAAATTTGTATTTTAAGGAATGTGATTTAGTATCCAAGGAACCAAAGCCTTTTGTGCCTGATGCAAATCTGGGTGGACCTATTGTGGTTCCTACAGCAGGAGAGGAGTTCTCAGCTGAAACAGATCCATCAGTGATAGGAATTTCTTTGAAGGAGAGCAATCCATTACTGACAGAGGAATATAATAGAAGGCCAGCTTTTCTGGAACTACCAAAGAAAGATAGTATCAAAGACAGTAGCTTACTTCGGCAAAATGTTCGAAGGAATCTGCTTCCATCATGCGAGAGTCTGAGCCAAGAAATTGTGAAAGGCTTGGACAGAATCAGTCTGCAAAACACTGCAGAAAATGATCAGTACTATGCTACAGAGTGTGTTATAAAAAAAGAAAACAAAACTAGCCTCACCCCACTTGCTTGTAGTAAAACTTGTGAACATGTTTCACCCTGTGGAAATAGCCTTTTTGAAGGATCATCTGTCCATCTTGGGAAATTCTGCTGCACAGGAGTGGAATCAGAGGAGGAGGATACCAAATCTAGTTCATCAGGGGAACAAGTGGAGCTTGAGGTTTCTGATGTATCTCCTGTTCATGACTGCGATCTTTATATAGAAATGGTGAAAACCACAAAATCTATTCCTGAATATTCAGAAGTGGCCTATCCTGATTATTTTGGCCATATTCCACCCCCCTTTAAGGAGCCTATCTTGGAAAGGCCTTATGGAGTGCAAAGGTAAGTTACTGTACTTCTTTTGTTGTCAATGTCTTCCTTGAAAAAATAATCTTTAGGCTAAGATTAACAGGCATGTGTACAATTTTCACTTTTGTATCTAAAACTACTTTCAGTGGGGGGAAAAAAAAAAAGAAAGCTAAGTAGATATCAGTGCAAAGTCAACAACAACAGAATCCTTAATATACAATTCTAATTCAGTAGTTACAATTTCTAAATACTGTTTACTTTGTAATCTTCCTATCTGTGTCCCTTTCATCCTCTCATCCAGATCTTGTAGTCTGTATTTAAAAACAATTTAAAAAAAAAATAAAAAAATCCAAACTCAAATTGCACATTTTAATATTTCAAAACAGAAGGCGAACGCAAGAGATGTCGTGCTTTCCAGCTTGTGTTTAACTACATAATATCATACTTAGCAAGGAATTGTGTGTATTTTAAAAATAAACCAAGACATGAAGGTGCACTGACAGTATTACCTCTTTTTCTTGAAGGTTTTTCTGTGTTGTCTGTAAGTTAAGTATGGAGTCTAATGTATGTGAATGCAATTCCTTCTCTTTGTCATCCTTCTGGAGGAGCTGGGAAATAACTATACACTAACCAGTTGATGTGTTCAGGGTTAGTATTTTTGAATAGAGACACCTGAGTGTTCCCTTCAGGTCTTAGCAAATATAGGCCATTTAAAAGTTGAAGGATACTTTAGTTCTTCTCTTTCCTGTGGTAAAAAACTTTTTTTTTTTTTTTAAGCAAACTGCAGTGGGAAAATTATTCTATTAATACTTTCAACTGGTTTTTTTTAATGTCTGCAATGGAGCAAAATTTAGTGCTGAGGATACAGTTTTTGTTAGATCTGCAGAAAGACAGAATAAACATGTCAACACAACTATGATGAATGTGACTAGTAAGAACAATTTGCAGAGATGGTATGAAGAGCTGGCTCATATGCATAGGACTACATTACTGTAAAGTCACAGGAGCATTTTTGCAAAATGTGATGGCAGATCTTCCCACTTGCTTCATTATTAGGTTGAAAGCTTTCAGCTTTTACCTGAAATTGAACCATTTATGTGAGATTTATTATATTTACATTTATTGATTTATCATCACTTTACATATTGATGAGGCCATAAGAGTGATTAAAAACTAGGCTATATAATTAAAATGATTTATCTGATTTTTAAGCATGTTGTAAAATCAAACTTTCTGGTGAAATGACTGAGAAACTTGAAACTCTAATGACATAATATAAACTGCTATAGAAAGTACTATTTCATGTAGGAAAAAAATCTCTAACTGCTTATCTTTAAGCTAGATTAAGTTGTCTGGGAACAAGATAGGTGATTTCTGACTCAAGATGAAGATCTACATATTAAGAAAATTTTTCGTTTAACTATTTTAAAATAGTTTTTCTTTTGACTTCTTGGTGCCTATGAATTTTTCTTTTTGTATGTATCTTAAATACTATTTTTTCCTTTTTTCTGATATTTGAATGTCTGTTATTCATAAATGGATTTCTTTCTGGCAAAGCTCTTTTGATAGTAAGAATCATTATTTACTCTTTAAAACTGAAGCATATTGAGAGCTAATGATTTGTGTAAGATCAGAAATCTGTATTCTGCCTTGAACTGAACCTGCTGTGATAGATCTTGGTGAGTCAGCATTTTTGTTATTATGACAGTATATTGGACTTGTGTCTTGCTTACTTTTCCAGTTACTCTTAACTTAGTGAAGTGCGAGTGTTCTCCACTTATCGTTCTTTTTAACTTACCTCAACAATATTTAGTTTAATTAAATGGAGAATTTCCAACCTGAACATACTTTACATCTCTGTTTCTGTATTCTTCATTGTTAATCTGCCTCCTTTTCTTCTTATTGCAGGTGCTGTGCAAGCTTTCCCACACAGCTCTGCTACTATATTTCATTCTTGAACTGCAAAACATTCTTACTTTTCCAAACCAGGACCTAGATACTGCCAGTTGTGCAATGGTTTTATGATCTGGATAAACATACACCTGACATTTGATTGACATCACCAAATTCATTCTTATTTGTTACCTAGTCGATAAATGAACATAGATCTCCAGAGGTGAAAAGCTAGTGCATTAACACGCTCACTGCACGACATACTATGTAAAACTAAATTTTAGTTATGATAGGACTCAAGTAAGTTACTAATATTATGAAGTGCTGTCCTAGATTAAAGCATTAACATAAATAATATTTGAGTAATTCCTGCTTCTACTATAAATTATGAAGTGGTGCTTTTTTTTTTTTTTCATGAAGTACAATTCAGTGGGTTGTGTGCATGAAAACTCAGTTGTCTTGCATACATAAAATCAGTCAGCTGTGAATGCAGGTGTTTAAAATTAAGAACACTACAGCTTGTGCACATAAGCAGGATTGAGGCTTAGGTCTCTTATGAAATCTGTCTCACTGTCTTCATGTTAATTTCTTTCAGTTTTCTTTGAGGTAATTTCTCTTTTGTAATTGGAAACAGCATGCAACAATTTGAATGAGAATCTCCTTTTACTTTAGGACAAAAATATGTCAAGACATTGAAAGACTAATTCATCAAAATGATATTATAGACAGAGTTGTGTATGACCTCGACAATTCCAGGTAAGTTTTTACCCTGCTGAAAACAGTACTTATGGAAAGACTCAAAATAATTTTATAATTATCAAGTATGGATTGAAAATCAACTTTACGAGTTTGTTTGAGTCAAATCTGTTTTATTTATTTTGGCCTTTTTTTTTTTTATTTTTTTTTTACCCTTAGTTGTTCAGTACCTGAAGAAGTGGATGTTTTGAAGTTTAATTCCAAATTTGAGTCTGGAAACCTGCGCAAAGTCATTCAGATTAGAAAGTAAGATATTTCAGCTATTCTTTTTATGTGCAGGACCTTCCATTTTCTGTTTTTTTTTTTAAAAAGAGATTTATTTCTTCTTGTTAATCTTCAGAAACGAGTATGATCTAATTCTGAACTCAGATATAAATAGCAATCATTATCATCAGTGGTTTTACTTTGAAGTCAGTGGAATGAAAACAGGCATCGGTTACCGTTTTAACATCATCAACTGTGAAAAGTCAAACAGTCAGTTTAACTACGGTAAGATATATTTCCCATTCTTTGAGAAGAAGCATATAGAAAAGTATCTGGACTAGCCAGCTCATCTGGTCCGTTCCTCCTCTCCCCTCAGTCTTCCTGGGAATCGGTACATTCATGTTTTTTTACAGATCATATTTTTTTAACCAGGACTACTAGAGAATGTTTTGACAAATATCCATTAAAAAGAAAAAAAGGGTATCTGAAAACACCAGCCATTATTTCTAAAATAAGTTTTTGTTGTGAGTGAAGCCAAAACAAAACAATTCTCCTGGTGGCTGCAGCTACAGTGTGTCGTAAAATTCTTGTGGGAATGACACCACTGAGGCCTGTTGACCAGCACAGGTAGAGAATGACAGCTAATGTATTAAAACCACCTGAAAAGATGTATATTTTAAGAAGTGAAAGTAGATGAAGACCATCTCAGAGTTGTCCAATTGATAGGAAAAGAGAGTCACACTTGAGAAGGAAAGGCATCTAAATATTTGTATGAATATAGTCTGTTAATAAATGAGCATAGCTAGTTTGTAGACTTATGTAAAAATACTGATGTGCTCTGTTTCTGATAAGATCTTGTTGAAGGTAAAGCATTAAAATGAGATGCATTTTTCCTTTAAGGTATGCAGCCACTTATGTATTCTGTTCAGGAGGCACTAAATTCTCGACCTTCTTGGACTCGTGTTGGGGCAGATATTTGTTACTATAAGTAAGTATGCCCATCAAACATACAACAACACTTCTACTTTTAAGATTAGTATAGCTAGAAATTTTGAAGAAAAATGATTGCTTCTGACTTTAGATGATTATATTTTAGCAGTTTGGTTTTGAATACATTTTTATTTCTCAGTTACTACGGAGCGTAACAGAAGTGAACAGAATATATAGAATCTTGTTTTTGTTGTTTGTTTTTTTTTTTTAGCACACAGCTAATGCTTAAGTAATTCATCTTTCATCAGATATTGCCTACTACTCTAGAGAACCTGTTTAGGTTGCACACATACACGCTCAAACATTAATGGTGATATCCAGTAGTATTCACTAAGTGATATTTGTGTTTTGTCTTTTGTTTTACATGGTGCAGTCATTCTAGAACAATCTTAAAAAACATAGGATGAGAAAATACAGCATTTAATTTTGCAACCTTTCTTGGTTAACAGCTGCTTGCTTCTTTTTGTTTGTTTGTGTATTCATATCTTTCTAATGTGGTATATGTGTATTCCTGCTATCGTGAAGTTTCTTTCCAGATTGTGGGAAGTAGTAGATTTAACCTGGATAAACAAAGAAGAGAAATAAAATCCCTTAAAATTTTGTTCCTCTGTGTGTGTGTGTGTGTGTGTGTTAAAAATAATCAATGATAATGAATAGTATTCTTGTGTGTTTATTATCTTAATTGTACTCTTAGGAATCATTTTTCAAGAAGTTCAATTGCTGCTGGGGGTCAGAAAGGAAAATCTTATTACACAATTACATTTACAGTGACTTTTCAACATAAAGATGATGTCTGCTACTTTGCTTACCATTATCCCTATACGTACTCAACATTGAAGGTGAGAAGATTGTGATATATTACATAAATATCTCTACTTTAGGACAATCTGGTATATGAGCATTCATTAGTGAATTTTTACTTCTTTCTGTAAAGTTCAAAATGCTGAGAGATTAAAATTGAGGATGTTCGTAAAATATTAGTATTTAGATTGGCAAGGAGTGAGGGTTATTCTAAGGAACAGTAGCTGGGAAAAAAAATTAAAAAAATCATATTACTTTCAAAGGTTTTCCTGAGAATAATAAATTGTAATTGACTGGAAAACTATACAGAACCCAGCCCAGATTGATGGATTTGGCTGCAGATAACCTGTTTGTACTTTCAATCAGTAATTTCAAAGCTAAGTGTGTAATTCTGAAAGAGACAAACAGACAGCCACCCACCCACCAGCGTGGAACAGACTGGCACTCACATATAACATTCTACCAAAACTTACTTAAATCCCAAGTGTGGACACTCAACTCCCTTTCTTTGTCTTCAGCTGGTAAAGATTGCTTTAGCAGTGCAGACATCCTCCTTCACTAGATTCACAAGCATACATACATTTGCACCAAGCAAAACCTGCCATCTGTCTGTGCAATATTCTGGTCCCTCTTGCCCACTGTATAGACCTTCTGCTTGGAGGCTAGTGCAGCTGGATGCTTTCTAGCACATGAATGCACACACACCATCATCACTGCAGTTCCTTCCAGCTACCAGCCTGTGTGTGTCTGTACGCCTGATCACCCTGCCTACACTGGCTACTGAAACTCAGTATCTAGTCCAGCCAGCACTTGCTGAAGCTTTGCTGTAGTTTTCTGGCTGATCAGTTAGTGCCTGGAGGCAATTGATCTTTGACATTGTTTGTGTTATATTTTGTCTCCCCTGTTTATCTCTTTTTGTTCCTGATTTTTGGGTCAAGTTTTGTTATCTTCTTCTGCCCTGGAAACGTCTTCAATCAGGTAACTTAAATGAAGCAGATGTGCTCACCTTCCATATACCCTTATAGTATAATCTAGAAGAAAATGAAAAGCTTATACTCTGTGCCTTCTTCCTCAAAACAGTTGAAGAAACAGGCTACATAAAGAAAGGTATTCAGTTTGTTAGATATACAGAGAATGGTATTTGATGTTCAGAGTTATAATGGAAACTTTGACATTGTTTACAAAGATTAAAAAAAAAAAAAAGGATTAAACAGGACATGGAATAGGTTGTCATAAATGATTGCAAAAGATTTGATGTTCTTTTTCATTATATTTCTGATGAAGATGCATCTTCAGAAGTTGGAATCTATGCATAACCCTCAACAGATATATTTTCGACAAGATGCTCTCTGTGAGACTCTGGCTGGCAACACATGTCATGTAGTCACTATTACAGCCATGCCAGAATCGAGTTACTATGAACATATCTGTCAATTCAGTAAGTATGATTTTTCTTTCTCAGCAACTGAAAATAATGTAGAAAATACATAGAAAAAAAAATGGGGTACTAACTATTGTGCATTGTAAAAATAGTAATTTAATGTAAAAATTATAAAAATGTAAAAAACAAAAAAGTAAAAAAAAAATGCCTAACATTTATGTACCACATGAAAGGGGGTTAATATCCAACATTAGTTTCCTAATTAAAAATTCTTGTGGTAGTCCAATAAGAATATTTATAAGTGTCTTCTTTCAAGTATTAAATCAGTTGATAAATGTTTTCTGCGTGTAACATTTTGCAGTCAACCCTCCTTGGAAAGGAGTATGTCAATTTTGAGTTATTTTTTTTCTCCAAAAGTTAAAAATATTTGCTTGTCAAAAAGAAAATACATTTTGGAGCCAAATCTATAGTTAGATCTAAGCTATTTTTGAACTTGCTCAGCATTCCTCAAACTTTTATTTTCTGCTGGGGAAAAAAAAAAGACATCAAACTTATCATGCCATAATCACCAGGTTGAGCTTATTATGCTCATGTCTTGGATTGAATTTAAAACCGTATTGTGAGAATTCAACAATTAGCAGTCCATATAGCAAAATTCTGGCAAGCATTCCCCATTTATTTGAATATTTTGAAAAAGAACTTTTAAATAATCTATTTCACACAGTAATAAATGAAGCAGGCTACTGTCTGTTTTCAGTTAGCAGGGTGCTTAATTATCTTGTTTTGCAACTTCTCTGCATGCTTCTTGTAGGGAATCGTCCTTATATTTTCCTATCTGCTCGTGTACATCCTGGAGAAACGAATGCAAGCTGGGTTATGAAAGGAACACTGGAATATCTTATGAGTAATAACCCAAGTGCCCAAAGTTTACGAGAGTCTTACATTTTCAAAATTATTCCCATGCTCAATCCAGATGGTGTCATCAATGGGAAGTAAGCATAAGTTTTTACTCACAAATATTTAACCTGTAATACTTAATCTTTGCACCTGTAATTTAAAAGTTAAATATCTAAATTAATCCCTATGCCATGCAATATTTAATTACAAGAAAATTACAAGATTGCTAGACCTCACTTTTCATTTTTTGTTTCCTGTTTTTTGGCTTAAGAGGCAGGTGCAGTTTCATGAATTCAGAGATTTTAAAAAGTATTCTCAGTTATTTATCTTTCAGTGATTTGAAATTAGTTTAATTGTCTCTCACGGTCAAGCTGGTTATAGATTTGAATACAACCTGCCCTTATATAGGAAAAAGTATGAATATAACTGAACATTTGAAATTAAATAATTCAGGCTGTAATTGAAAATCTAACACAAAGTCAGCGGAGGAATCTATCCCATCAGACATAATGTAAAGACAAATATACCTTAGATAATTGTAGAAATATAAATATCTGCTATCTGAGAAGTTATTAGTGAAAGTTCACTGAGTACAGAGATGATCTTTGTTTGCTGCTTTTTTTTTTTGTTTTCTTCTTGTTCTCTTAGTAGCAAGTTGCTTCCTAATCACTTCATGTTACAAGTCTTATATATCAGATTGAGATTATTTTTGTGACAGAAGCCAGTGAACCAGAGCTGTAAAGGTACCATGTATTTGCAATTAATTACTTTGAACTAGCATTTAGTAGAGTCACAAGGCTTCAGTTTCATCAATGCGCAGGCAAGATTACAAAACACTTCATATAAGACGTGATTTATTTTTAGATTTTCTGTAACACAACTTGAAAGGAAAAAACAAAAATGCCTCAAACTTTTTTATTAATTGCAATGTCAGAAAACTGAAAATTGTTTCTTACCAAGTCTGTAGTGACAAGGAAGTCTGTAGTGATAAGGAAAACTTGAGGTAAGAAGGGAGTCTTACTGAAAAGCAACAAGGTAATACAAAAAAAATTGTACAACTTATGTTTTTCATCCCCCACCCCCTAATAGCCACCGTTGCTCTTTAAGTGGAGAAGATTTAAACAGACAGTGGCAAAACCCAAATCCAGATCTGCATCCCACAATTTACCATGCTAAAGGCTTACTGCAATATCTGGCTGCTATAAAGCGTTTACCTCTGGTGAGTATGTCTGCATAAGCAATCTCAAGAATCTTTCAAATTTTGTCTATATAGCTGTTTTGCTAAATAAGCACTTTAATAGGATTTTGTATGCTGTATCAAACTTTAAAAATTGACTTAGTGAATTAGTCTTCTGGAAACTTTTAAGTCTGAATCTGTTTTTGTTGCTAGAAGGTCAAATATTTCTTAGGAACCTTTTCTTCACAATATGAAGGTATATAAGGAGTTTTGTTCCTAATTTTTTGAAACGTTCAATAGTGAAAATACAAATGCAGTAAAAGGATAAAGATTTTTAAATTTTTTGTTCCTTGTCTTTATTTTGACGTATGATTAATTGCAGGTTTACTGCGATTATCACGGTCACTCTCGTAAAAAGAATGTATTCATGTATGGCTGCAGCATCAAAGAGACAATGTGGCACACAAATGTTAACACTGCCTCTTGTGATCTAGTGGAAGACCCTGGTTACAGAGTAAGTCTGACACTCATACATTTGTCAATTGGCATGAATGTGGAATATACTTTTCACATAATTTCCTAATTGTAGTCTGATTACACAGACTTCACAGTATCAGACTTATTTAGAATTATTTCTTTTTAGTCCATCCATATGTGTCAAAATATTTTGACAGCTTTAAATATCATTTTTATGCTAGTACAGGGTTTACTGTTAGCAAAATACTTACTTTGTTTATTTTTAATTAGCATTATGTGCATTTTCTGTTCAATACCATCTAGCAAATGCATGAAAAAATATTCTTTCATGTATTTATAATTAGTGAGTTAAAAAAAAAAAAAAAAAAGAATAATTTAAGTATGGCAAATAATATTACAGCATTAAGAAAATATGTAAAATACAGAAATCCTTATTTTTGTATAAGGAAAGGGGCAAAATTTGTGTTGAAAGCATACAGTTACAATACGTAAACATAATCAACTCATACAGGTAGCATCTCTTGAATGGTATAAGCTTTTAGTAATTCCTAAAATAAGAGTCAAGGAATTATATGATAATTTTCTTCTGCATAGCTCCATTGCCGCCTTGTGGCAGCTGCAAATGTGTACAACTAAAAAAGTGGTTCACAGAAATGCTACACTGGATTTCCAGATGACAGGTTTTGGCCTAATTTGAGACTTGTTTGCTAGAATCCCTTTCAGAGTAGTACTGAATGGCAAAGGAGTCCTGGAAGGCTGGTTCTTTTTCGTGAATGAAGTGTTAAAGGCATGTCCAGTTTAGAGCTCCTTACTACAAGAAGAATATAGAATTGCTGGAACCTCTTCAGAGAACAACAAAACTTGTGAAGGAGCTAAGAAACAAGACATATGATGTGTGACTGAGGGCAGTGTGGTTGTTCAGTCTGAAGAGGGAGGGGAGATCTAATCATTCTGCTGCCTGCCTGAAAGGAGCTTGCAGTTATGTAGATGTCAGTGTCTTTTCTTAGGTGACAAGTGATAGAATCCGAGAAAATGGTCTCAAGTTGCACCTTGGTGTACTCAAGCATCAGGCAGGTTTACACTGGATACTAGTGAAAAACTTCTCAATGGAGATGGTTGTCAAACATAGGAACAGGCTGCCAAAGGAAGTGGTAGAGTTGATATCGCTTTTACTTAAGAGACATTGAATGTGTCATTAAGGATAATGGGACTTAGGTCGGGTTGATGTTTGGACTTGGTGATCTTAAAGGTCTATTCCAATCTGTGTGATTCTTCAGTTTTTCTCTATTTGTCTTGGGAACGTTTTTCTTGAACTTTGCTTCACATTCACAAAGTTCACAAAGCAAAGAGTGTGTTTAGTGCATTACTTAATATTGATGGATTTTATGTGTTAATAAAATGGTGTCTGTTAGGTCAACAAATTGGATTGTTGAAACAGTATGAAGACTGAATTCTACTTTCTGAACTATATGGCTTATGTAGTGTGCTTAATTTGAGCAAAATCATCTGGGTGAATTAGAAGAAGATGGTGGTCACCTGAAGAATCTACTTTTCTTGTGGATGTGACAAATACTTCATTTTAGCAATAGGATTTAAACTTTAGGAAATGACAAATCTATTGTCATTTTTAACCTATTGGGTGTGAGCCTTCTTGCTCCAGCAAGAAGCATTGTGCTTGCAGGATCTCATCCTGATGGGGGATTTCAACCACCTACATATCTTCTGGGAAAGCAATAAAGCATGAAATCCAGGAGACCCCTGGAGTTTGTTGAAGTAACTTCCTGATCCAAGTATTGGAGATATGAACCAGTGTTACTGCACTTGGTGCTCAACAGTGCAGAAGACTCATTAAAGAGGTTTAATTAATTTAATTAAAAGAGGTCTTTCATTAGAGAAGAATCATTAAAGAGGTTAAGATTTGAGGTGTTCTGGGGTGTAGCAAAAATGCCCTTGTTGAAGTAGTGATCTTTAGGATTATGGGCATGTCAAACTTCAGGCTGCTTAAGGAATTAGTGGATAGTATTCCCTGGGAAACTGTCCTTAGAGATACAGGATCTTTTAAAGTCAATTTTCTGAGAGCATATGAGTGATCCTCCTCCAGCAGAAGAAGTCAAGCAGAGGAGGCAGGAAAATAGCATGACTGAGCAAGGAGCTGCTGATCAAATTGTGGGAAAAGAAGGAAAAGTATAGACAAAAGGGTGGCCTGAGAAGAATACTGGGATTCCATATGGGCATAAAGAGGTGTGATAAGGAAAACCAACGTGGAACTGAACTTCATAAGGGATATGAAAAATAACAGAAAGCATTTCTATAGGTACATTTGTTAGAAGAGACAGGCCAAAAAGTGTGTTCCTCTCTGATGAATGAGAAGGGAAAGAAGTCTGCAGCAGGCCTGGAGAAGGCTGAAGTGCTCAATGAGTTCTTTGCCTCAGTCTTCACTGGCAGCTCAGCTTTTCATGTCATTCGTGTCCCTAAACCTCTAGGTAAGGGTCAGGTGTGCAAAATACTCTTACTGTAAGATCACATCAGGTCAGAGAGTGCCTCATGAGATTGAACATCTGCATGTCTATGGGGCCTGATGGCTTGCATTCCAGGGTCCAGTGAGGGTCCAGAAGGAACTGTCCAGTGAGGTTGCCAAAACACTCTCCATCATATTTGAAAAGTTATGGCTATTAGGAGAAGTACCTGGTGACTGGAGAAAGGGAAACATCGCTGCTATTTTTGAGAAAGGAGAAAGAAAGACCCAGGAAACTATTGGCCAGTGAGCCTCACGTCTGTGGCTGGGGGGTATCATGGAGCAGGTATTCCTGAAAGCTATGTTAAAGCACGCACAGAATGAGGAGTTGATATGAGACAGCCAGTGTGGTTTCTCCAAGGGCAGATCATGCCTGACTGATCTGATGGCCTTCTATGTTGAAGTGATGGCATCACTAGCCAAAGTAAGGGCACCTGGTGTCAGGTATTCCAGGACTTATGCAAAGGCTTTGACATGGTCCCATACCACCTTCTTATTTCTAAATTGGAAAAGTACAGATTTGAAGGTTGGACTGTTCAGCTGAATTGGTTGGATGTCACAGCCATAGGGTTGCGGTCAATCGCTCAATGTCCAGGGGGAGACCAGTGAAGAGTGATGTCTTCCAGGGCCCTTCTTGGGTCCTGTGCTCTTCAGCATCTTAATCTGTTACGTAGACACTGAGGTCGAGGGTACTCTCAGCACATTTGCAGATGAGACCAATCTGACCAATCTTAAGTTTTTTACCAAGAGAGTAGTGAGGTTCTGGAACAGAGTGCCCAGAGAGGTTATGGATGCCCCATCCCTGCAGGTGTTCAAGGCTGAGTTGGATGGGGCTCAGGCAGCCTGATCTAGTATTAGATATGGAGGTTGGTGGCCCTGCATGCAGCAATGGGGTTGCAGCTTGATGAATCCTTGAGGTCCCTTCCAACCCAAGCTGTTATGTAATTTTGATTCTCTGATTCTGAGCAGTGCAGTTGATACAACAGAAGAACCATCCAAAGGGACTTACACAGGCTTAATAAGAAAGGTTCACGTGAACCTCATGAGGGCTCAGCAAGGCCCAGTGCAATGAGTCTGGCCAGTCCTAAATAGGTCCTAAATTTTGTCCTGAATTCCTATTTAGTCCTAAATAGTCCTAAATAACTGGGAGAAGAATCATTGAGAGCAGCCTTGTGGAGAAGGACATGGATGTTCTGGTGGATGAAGAATTGAACGTAAGCAAGCAGTCTGTGCTGGAAGCTCAAAAGGCCAATTGTCTTCCATGCTGCATCAAAAGAGTAGTGGCCAGCTGACTGAGGGAGGTGATTGTCCTCTTTTGCTCTGCCCTTGTGAGGCACTGGAGTACCGAGACCAGGCCTGGCTCTCCCAGTACAGGAAAGATGTGGAGCTGTTGGATCAGATCAGAGAGAAGGCCACGAAGATGATCAGGGTCCAGAAGCATCTCTCTTACGAAGATATGCTGAGCTGGACTCATTTAGCTTGGGGAAGAGAAGGCTCTGGCGCGGTGGCATTGCAGCCTTCCAGTACAGAAAAAGAGCTTATAAACAGGAGGGCAACCAACTTTTTACAATTTGATAGTGGTAGGATAAGGAAGAATGATTTTAAACTGAAAGATGAGAGATTTAAACTAGGTATTCGGAGGAAATACTTTACTCAGTGTGGTGAGGCACAGGAACAGGTTGTCCAGAGAAGTTGTGTACGCCCCCCATCCTTGGAGGCCAGATTGGATGGAGCCCTGCGCAGCCTGATCTAGTGGGTGGCAACCTTGCCCATGCCCATGGCAGGAGAGTTGAAACTAGATGATCTTTAAGCTCCCTTCTCCTACAAGCCATTCTGTGATTCTGTGGTATGATTTTTTAAATTCCAGCTGGTGCAATATTATTATTTGTCTGTTAAGTCTAACTACAGCCAAATTTTCTAATGGCACTTAGTGATTGAATGTTTTCCCCTGTCTCCTTTTCATGAATGAAATAAAATAATCAAGATCGCTTTCAAATTACTCTCCTGCAGGTACTCCCGAAAATCTTGAGTCAAACTGCCCCAGCGTTCTGTATGGGCAGCTGCAGCTTTGTAGTGGAAAAGTCCAAGGAGTCAACAGCACGAGTTGTTGTCTGGAGGGAGATAGGAGTACAGAGGAGCTACACGATGGAAAGCACATTATGTGGATGTGACCAGGGCAAATATAAGGTAAGAAAGTATATAAGTTAAACTGTTCTTGCTTATAATTTCTACTATTTGCATTGGTGTCTTTTTCTATAAACCTGCCTGCTTGCTTGTTCACCTTAGATTTTTAAAACTCCTCTAAGATCTCTGTGTACTCTAATGTAAAATGAAATTAAATTGGTTGCATAGCAGTCTCTGTCACTAAAAACACATTATTGTATGCTTGCTTATTTGCTGATTTAACAAGCTTTCTCTTAATTATTGCTTATAGCACATATGAATGCATGTAATTAAAAAAAATTAGATAACTTCTTTCTAATAGATTATTAAGATTGGATGGTGATAAATACCAATAGTAAAATAAGAATTTTCTTTACATGTAGCAATTATAGAGTTTACCATGGCAGTTCATGGTTCTTCAGCGAGTATTTAGTAAGATTCCAAAAAGAGTTGTTCTGTATGGCTGTAGAAAAAAGCTTATAAAGTAAAACAATTTCATATTGATTCACTTCTGCTACTAGATATGTCTTCAGGAATACTCATCCTACTTGTTTATCTTCTCAAATTGGAATTTGTCTTTAATTCTTTTGAAGGACACAACTTAATAGGGGTGTATGTTTGAGAAACAGTAGGTGAGCCTGGTGGTTGTTTCTCACTAGCAGAGAACTTCACAAGGAAAACATTTCTAGAAGAGCAACAAGTAAAGAGAAATAAAGAGCCCTAATATCATGTCTTTGGTTTCTGCCACTGTGTTGAACTTAGCTACAGATTGAAAAAAGTTTTTGAACTGAACTTTCAGAGAAAAAGTCACAATTTCCTCTGCTTCAAAATAGAGATAAGAACAATCAATTAAGAAAAAAAGACCAGAAGTCAAAAATAATGTGCTTGACAAGAAAAGAAGCCGTAAAGCTAGGACAAGAGAGGAGGGGGGGAAAAAAAACAACGGATTAATAAGGAATACTAATGTATATTCCAATACTTTCCAGACATCAGGAAGACAGATATTTTGGCATGAATTTTAGTAGGTCTGTGACTACTGAATGAGTGAGTTAATTTTCGCAATTAACAATAGAAGCATTCCCGTTATTATCAGAATATTCCTTTATAATTTCAGTTGTTCATCAGGTGATGACATTATGGAGCTTTAAAAAACCTATCCAAGTAACTTACTTTGAAACTTCTGGAATATTCCTACAAGCATCAACATTCATTGCCTGTGCCGCATTGCAATAGAAAGTTCATAAGGAACTGAGATACTTTACGGACAAACTTTTAAGATGCTGATGCTGCAAAGCCCTTCTTCTATAAGGGAGGAAAAAATGAGTGTATTTCATGGAAAAATCACTTCTTCAAATGGGAAGATCCTCCTCCCTTGTGATAAACAAGTTGATGAGATCAAATTGCTCTTCTGTCACTTAGTTCACTTGGAATCAAACAGTTTGTGAGATCTCAGTCATCCTTTGAACATAGAGGAAGCAGCTTCATTTTTTTTTTTTTTTTAAATTACTGTAATACTGCTCTGGTTTATTGAGGAAATGTGTCTGAAAAGGCAAAGCTACTGGACAGAATGAGAAAAGCAACATTTCTTCAAAGAGATGAAGAGACTGGGATTTTTTTCCTGTGGAGAGAGTGAGGCCAACATTTCCGTGAATGAAGACATGGTATAAATTGGCTGACGTGTTTCGTAATGTGTTTTTCCAAAACACAAAAGGAGTTAGATTATAGAAATTCCCTTCCCACCTTCTTGCCACCCTGAAGGGTTTGAGAGTTCCTATCTGACAAACTGTGCATTGTGTAAAAGTCTGAAGAACTTTTCTTCTGGCTTATCACAGAATTTTATTAAGCCATAAAGATTACTCAAAAGTTATGTTCTTTTGGAAAGAAATGATGAGTCTCTGCCAAAGATGGATGTCAGTTTTTATTTTTATTATTATTGTTTTTAATATTTTTCATTTTACTTGATGATGCTAGGCTGTTTTCAGTTTGAAAGGAAAGAAGCTGTTCAGCTGAAGTTCTTACCTGAATTCAGGATCATCTGTGATAGAGTTTTTTTCTGGAAGCAATCTTGCTTCAACTGCTAATGCGTTGTTGTAACACATTGAGGATTACTGCTACAAATATTGCCTGGTCCATCTCTGATTCAATATGCAAAAGCCAAAAGTTGAGATGAGACAGTGCTCAGAGACACGTGGATGATAATTAAGATGCTAGATAGAAGGAAAATTTCTTCAGTAATGCAGATAACATGGAAGCTGAACATTAGTTGAATTATGAAAAACACGCCTTTCATGTTTGGCGAGTAATAAGTTTGGTAGCATGACTTAATCTATAGCTTCACTGAGAAGGCTTTGCCAGTTGGAAATTTTACAGTGCAGAGAAGAAAATTAATTTACCATGATCCTTGCATCTCTAGACATTGAATTCACAAAAATGATCAGATCTTTGTAGTCTCTACTGAATGAAAAGAACAATATAAAGTTCTACTATCCATATGACTTCTCCAAGTCCTAGTATGACTGTTTCTAATCTTTAAAAAACATATTACAGGAAGATACTTCTCAACTGTTATAGCTTAGGCTTCTACTGCAGTTCAGATTGCTCTACAAGTGCTTCACAGATGCGTATCTCTCATCTATTCCATTTTAGGTCTCTTAGTTATATCCTGTTTCTATTGTGCTGAAAATAGCAGCCATGAAACACGCACACGCTATTTATCTTTCTAACAATTCTTTTTGCACTTTATTTCATACTGTGTTCTTATCCTTCTTCGACTTGGAGTCACTCCTCTTATACTACTGTCTATTAGGAGCCTGCCAACTAACTGTACGTTCTTTGGCAACAGATAGACAATGATTGGAAAAGTTTCTGAACATCAATTTGTGCACGTTAGTAATCTGCGTAACAGTGAGGTTACTGTTACCCTTCTTCCTCTTCTGCCTACTTGTTGCCTCTTGTCCTTAATGTTATTTTAATCTCTTTGGGGCAGGGACTGTGTCTTCCTGTGATTAGCGTAGTGGAGCCCCAGCTATGATTGGGGTCTTCGAATGTTACTGATGTGCAAACAAATACAAAACAAAAACAAAAATTTGGCCTCTGTGGATAAGGTACTGCATTGGGAGTGAGGAGAACTGATTTCTGTTCCCAGCGGGGTCAGTGACATGCTGTGAGACACTGTGCAAATCGCTTCAACCCTCTCTGCCTCCATTTCTCCATCAGTAAAATGAGGATAATTCTTCCTTTATTAATAAAGTGCTTTGAAACCTACAGCACAAAAGCCTTATAAAAGAGGTAAGTAGTATTACTATTAACAATAATAATTAGTATCCAACTCTTGTTCACTGCTTTCAGGTTTCTGTGTCATTTGACTGGAGGATGACAACCTATAGAACAATGTATTGCTTTAGTTTTCTTGCTAGTAAAAAACTCTTTGTATATGAAAACTACTGATAAAAAGAGAAGCTGCAATAAAAGTTGTCAGCTTTTCCATTTATAAAGTTTGCAATTGTTCAAAACAAAAGTACATGAAGAATGTTCAGAATCTACCAATTAGTAATACAATTCTTTTTAACCTTGCATTTTATTTTATGGTATAGCTTCAGTGTGGCAATGTGCAAAGCTTGTGTGTGTGTGCCTGTTGTAGCTTTTAGGAAAAAAAATATACTCCGTTCTTTGTCTTTCATACATTCTCGTGCTGGAGAGCTTAGCTTGCCACTGGTTCCTGGTTCTTCTGCTCTTGTGCTTATTTTGTCAAAGCATCTTTTTAACTACCCTTTTCCTGGAGAGGATTAGAAGATACAAACTAAACTCTTTAAATTCTCCTGAGATAAAGAAGATGCAGAGGGAAGACTGAGTGAGGTTGTGACATTTAATCTGTTATCATATATATGGTTCAGTACTGACTAATTCTGTAATTGTTGAGGGCCACTCTGTAGCATCATTCTTTTTTCATAAAGCAGTTGATGTTAGAGGTACTCTTCTTACATAATGCACTGCTCACCAAATTAAATGTATGTAATATGATGGGAGACTTTGCCACTTATGTAATGTTGGATATTACATAAATGTGCAGGAGGCTCTGAAGAAATATGGAGGTGTCCAGAAATGGCTGTTCTCCCTTAGGAGATTCAATTTGTTATCCTTTGTTCTATCTGTTTCTTGCTAAGTGTTTATACTGCAGTTCTTAAATGTATTGTAAATAGTAATTTTGCTGTATGTGTGCGTCCATCATCAGGTACCTATTTTTAAATCTTATTTTTAAATTAGGGGTTGCAAATAGGGACAAGAGAACTGGAGGAAATGGGAGCCAAGTTCTGTGTTGGCTTACTGCGTTTAAAAAGAATGGCTTCACCTTTGGAATACAATCTGCCTTCTGGTCTGCTGGATATTGAAAGTGAGCTGATTGAGTCAAGCTGTAAAGTGACAAGGTAATACACACTTACTATATTTTGAATTTTTCAGGAAAAGATTAGTTTCTCAAATGAAGTGACGATTCTCTCAAAAATGTTCTTCCACACATCAAAAAGAATGATGATCTTCTGTGACAAGATAGTTTTCCAATATACTCACGTTGCTGTTACACTACCTTGTTAATTCAACTGCTTCAAACTTCTGAAGAAAGCAGTAATACACAGCTATATTGTTACATTTGTTGCTGGTGTAAATTTAAAAGTAATCAAGTAGTTATTATATTCAATAAAACAATAAGTCTCAACTATCTCTTCCTGACAGCATTTTTTTGTATGGCTGGTTACAGTATTAAAAATTTATTTAGTCAGACTTGATCTGTATAAGTTGAATGTCACCTTAGGAGTTGGAATTTTTTCTTCTATTTTTTTTTCCCCTTTGATATACATATGTAGAACATTTGAAGAATTTAAAACATGTGAAATAATGTTTGGGTAACAACAACAACAAAAAAAAAAGGATTGTACCTGTTCAGCAGTAAGCTCATTAAGTTACCAAATCATTAAAGCTCTAGGCTGACTTAAAAATATGCATACTATTTCGTATATCCGTATATATCATCATTTACTATCTATTTGTGCATGTAATTTGCAGTACACAGTAAACAAGTGATTTCAAACACGTCTTGAAAATATGATTAGAAATTAAATAAAATGGAGTTACAGATATCGGAAAAGCATTTAAGTAAGATTATAAAAAGGCAAGATTTACATGGTATGATATGTTATCCCTTGGCATATTTTGTGCACAGAATGGTTTTATGGTGGCTTTGGCTGTAGCTCCAACTTAGCTAAAGTAATGTTGGGGAAAAATGGCACTTATTGCTGCTTTTATAGAACTAAAATAGGGAGATGCTTGAGCTGCTATGACTTTAGACGCTATACTAATGAGGAATTTGTCTATAAACTGTGTAAAACCAGCGGAGATATGGAAGGGTATCAGTAGTACCCTGAAAAAGTAGGGAGGTGATGTTCTGTTTCTGTATTTAAACACCTCATCAGATTGTGGAATACTGAAAACAAATGAAGCTTGAATTCAGGAAGGTGGGAAAATCATTGGGACAAGTCAGCATGGATTTTCAGCAAGAGGAAAAAGTCACAGAATCACAAAATGGTTTGGGTTGAAAGGGACTTTAAGCCTAATTCCTATCTAGCCTATGTGTATGGACACCTCCTCCTAGACCAGATTGCTCAAAGCTTTTCCAGCCTGGCCTTGAATACCTTAAGAGGGATGCAGCCACAACCTCACTGAGCAACCTCTTCCAGTGTCTCACCACCCTCACAGTAAAGCATTTATTCCTAATATCTAGACTAAATCTACCCTCTTCCTGTTTAAAGTCATTTCTCCTCATCCTGTTGCAACCTGGCAATATAAAAAGTCCCTTCTCAACTTTCCTGTAGGCCCCCTTCAGATACAGGAAGGCCTCTATAAGGTCCATTCCCTTCCCCAGACTGAAGAGCCCCAACTCACTCAGCATGTCCCTGTAGGGGAGGTGCTTCAGTCCTCTGGTCATCTTCATGGCCCTTAGCTCAATGTATCCCTTGTGTTGGGGGCACCGGAACTGAATGCAAAGGTGTGCTTGACCAATCTGATAACCTTTCATGCTGAAATGATTGGCTGGATAAACAAGGGAAGAACAGTGGATATTGTCTGCCTGAACTTCAGTACGGTTTTTGACGCAGGCTCATATAAAATCCTCATAGATAAGCTGATGAAGTATGAGATGGATGAGCAGACCATGAGTTAGACTGAAGAATGGCTGAAAGGCGGTGCCTAGAGTCATGACTAGAATAGTATAAAGTCTATTTGAAGGCCATTAGTTAGCTTTGTACTGCAGAGTTCAGTAGTGGATCCCATCCTGTTCAGCATCTTTATCCATGGTCTGGATAATGGGGCAGAGTGTACCTTCAACAAGTTCTCTGAGTCAGAACTGAGAGAAGTGGCCTGATAGGGCAGAGAGATAGGCCTTGATAGGCTCGAGAAATGGGTAGAGGCAAAGCTCAGCAAAGGGAACTGCAGTGTCCTGTACCTGGGGAGAGACAACCTCATGCACCAGTATATTCCGAGGGCCACTAAGTTGGAGATTATCTCAGCAGCAGAGCACCTGGGAGTCCTGGTAGATCTACACAAGCTAGACATGAACCAGCCATGTGCCTTTTCTGCAAGGATGAATAATGGTATCTTTGTCTGCGTGAGGAGGAACACTGCCAGCAGCTTCAGAGTGACCCTTTCTCTCTACTCAACACTGGGATGGGAAGCCCGCAGCTTGAATTTGTTTCCAGGTCTGGGCTCTCCTTTACAGAAGACAAATAATTTGGAGAGAGACTAACAAAAGACCCCTACTATGATTAAGGGACTGGAGTGTTTCTCATTAGGAGGAAAGGCTGAATGAGCTGGGACCCCTAGAGAGTGCTTAGGGGGGGGGATCTTGTTGTTAAGGTGCCCAATACCTGAAGGGAGCCTGTAAGGAAAACAGAGCCAGGCTGTATATGTTAGTGACAGGACAGGATACAATGAACAAAGACTGAAACAGAGAGAAATTATATTTAAGCATAAAAATAACCCATCTTGCTGTGGATGTTCTCAGACACTGGAATATGCTTTCCTTGAGAGTTGTGGAGTTTCTGTTCTTGGAAATATTCAAAAGTCATCATATTCAGAAGAACATGTTTGTAGGCAGCCATATCTAGGTAGCCAAGCTTGAGCAGGGAGGTTGGACAAAATGATCTCCAGGGGTTCTTTCCAACTTCAACCATGCTGTGAGCCTGTGAAAATGAGAGAGTGTTTTTAAGTCTGTTCTCAGAAACACTGAGTGCTAGTGTTTTGGCAGTGTTAAATTAGAACGCTAATTGAAGCAATTGGAATACAAGATTTCTTCTGTCCATTAGTGCAGGATGCTGAGCTTCAAGAGTTAATACAGACAAGTTATGCTTATTCTGTCACTTCCTCATGTATTGCCTCGAGTACGTATTTTCAAGAGGAGTTTTTATTTCATTTGCAGCTAACATTAAAATGACTGTAGAATATTTTCCTATCCAGAAGTGTTACATGACTGTCAGTTTTATTAGAACCAAGCTTCAATATAGATTTGTCTCTTTGAAATGTTTAACCTTGAATTGCAGTATTTTGAATCAAGATGTGTTTGTGAGTAATTATTAGGGTGGCGCTGAAGAACAGCCCCAGATTTCTACACAGCTTTGTTTCATGTGGTGCCTCAGATTCAGAATTTATATTTTATACTGTCTCTACTAAGAGAAGTTAACGCGGCAGTTCACAGATAGTTGTGGTGTTTTAGAAAAAAAGAAGTGCTGGATTTCTTAGTCTGTTAATGTTACATGTGGTTGAGTGGCATTGAAACTGTACTTTGTGAATTGAGGAATGCCATACATGTGTCACTCCCTGCAGTTTCTGGCAGAGAGCTAAAGAAACATCAGAAGTGTATTAGCATCGGGATTCAATAAAAAAAGGTGAGAAGTCATGTACCAGTCAGCCTCATAACATACTACTTTATATAAACACATGAACAAAAAATCCAGCTGTAATGTTATTTGAAGAAAGTGAATAAAGATGTAACTACTGCTTGACATTGTTTCCAGGTTAGCGGCAGCAGAGGTGCTAAGGGGAACTGTGGGGAGGAGAGTTCAGTATGTGTGACCATGCCAGTCTTTTAAGTGATCCTCAGTGGAAAAGATTAGACTAAATGTAATACTAATCTTGCAGTATGAATTAAATTTATTACCTTGAGAGATGTGGTAAAGTCTGTGTAATGAAACAAAAACACATGACTGCATGTTAGGACTTACTGGAATATTTTTTGTGAATAACCTGACCTCTTTTGGAAATTCTAGCTGTTCCATTAGTTGTTTTGACGCTCGTTGGCATGTTCTAGAACATTTTGTATTTTGTTAATTTTATGTAATTATAGTAGGGAAGCAGACTGCACTTTTCTGAATGCTTTTGGATATCTGCGAAACAGTCGAAAGAGCATACTGCTAAAAGGAGCTGTGTGAAAGGGAAAAAACAGTTGCAAAATCCATTTTTCTGCACTTACACTCTTAGACTTGAGAGAATGCATCAGTGTGGTAGGGGCGAGGAGTGCGGGGCTCATGCAGAAGAATGTGACAAAGATCCTCTTGCAAAAAGGTCTCCTTTTAGGCTGCCAGAAAGAAACCAAATTTGACCTACTTTGTTTCCTTTCATCTTAATAACTGCCTGGCCAGAATCACGGTGCAAGAGAGACATTGAGTTACTAGGAAGGGTCCAGCATAGGGCCACAAAAATTATTGTATTCTAGAATGTTCTTGAGTTGAAAGGATCCTAAGTTCTTTACTATGGTGAGGTGCTGGAACAGGCTGCCCAGAGAGGTTGTGGATGCCCCGTTCCTGGAGGTGTTCAAGGCCAGATTGGATGGGGCCCTGGGCAGCCTGGTCTAGTATTAAATGGGGAGATTGATGGCCCTGTGTGAGGCAGGGGAGTTGAAGATTCATAATCCTTGAGGTCCCTTCCAACCCTGGCCATTCTGAGATTCTGTGAACCATAAAGATCATGTAGTTTCAACACCTCTGCTATGGGCAGGTTGGTCACCCACCAGATCAGGCTGCCCAGGGCCCCATCCAATCTGGCCTTGAACTAAACTCTTCCAGAGATGGGGCATCTGCAACATCTCTGGGCAACTTGTTCAGCATCTCACCAGATTCTGAGTGAGAACTTTCCCCCTAACATCTAATCTGAACACCAGGTGTCATGCAGGTAAAAGAACACTGACAAAGGCTGCCCAGAGGCTGTGGGACCTTCTCCTTGGAGATCTTCAGAAGCCTCTTGGGTGTATTTCTGGGCAGGCTGCTCTGGGTGTGCCTACTTGGGCACGGGTTCAGACAAGTGGACCCAGAGGTCCCTGTCAACTTCAGGCATTCTGTGATGCTGTGATACCACTTTTCATGCTTTTCTTCCATTTATGGTAATGTGATCCAAATACTAGTGTACAAAGTACTGCAGTCAACAATTTTTGAACCCAAGTAATTTAATCCAATTCTGAGTTTTACAAAATATATTTTAGGATGATTCCACAAAGCGTTAAGGTAACTTTTGATTAAGCTGTAGAATGAAATTATGTGACAGTGAAAATGAGAATAATTGAAATATTTAAATGGAAATTGAATACACAGCTTCTTATGGTTTGAAAAGGAATTGGCACATAATTTTTCTTTTTGGTGTTAGAAGTTCTAAATTTAGTATTTAAGGATTATAGTTAATACTTTCGGTAAACAAACAGATGAAGAGCTCCTTATGGGAACAGCACATGGAGATGAATTTGTGGTGTTGCCTACTGTTGCAGTTTTGCTGTTTCCTGTAAAGGAATATAGATCCTAAAGATAAATCAAAAGCATAAGTATGTACAGGTGATTCCTTTGTGATATTTCTTTATTCTTCTGCTCTTTCAGAATTTTTCTTTCCCTTCCATTGCAGTTCTAAAAGAAATCATTAGTTCTTAGGTTTTCTCTCCTTCCTTTTCCAACTCCTCAGGCATCTGCAGCTTTCCATGGTTTGGCAGGGAATATTTCTTTCTTTTTCTACAGAAGCTTTTAAATGTGCACACAAAAATAAACACAGGTTTATTTTTGAATATGTTTGAAGCATTAATTTATGTAAGAAAAATGTAGTAAAATATTGTAATTAAAAATAATGTTTCAGAGAGAGTTTATGTTCATTCCTAAATTCTGTTTATTTGATGGCAGATTGTGGAAGATAGTTTATGAAATTAAAGGAATATTCTTAAAGTTCTTAATAAATGTGAGGAACACAAAATTGTATCAGTTGTATTACTTCATATTGATGAATTCATCACTTCACCATAAAATGTTGTTTAAGTAAGTTTCTGCAAAACTTCAAAGAAATTTTATAACATAAACCACTGAGATTATACATTACACTGCTGACTCTGGTTGTATGATAAACAACAAAATTTGAGACCAATAATGGTTTCCTTTTAAAATCAAAAGCAGGAGGTATATGAGTAGAGGAAGAGGAATTACTGAGTAAGTTAATTAGATGCAGCTCAAGGGAAAATTTGGGAGATTAAAACCCACAGAATCAGCATGATGGCAGCTAAGAGTATATTATCACAAGGTATGTTGAGGGTGGGCAGTGGCAGGGAGGCAAATGAAGAATTTGCTTAAGCAGCAATAGATTTTTTCAGTTGCTTGGATTTCTGCATTTTTTCCTTTTCACCAAGCCTCAGTGAACTGATAATTATACTTTGCAGATACATGCTACCCTATAGAATAAAGATTTATGGAAATTTAAATATCCAAGGCTAATCTGCTACATCAGATGCAAAGCATCACAGGAAAGCAAATGTCTGTAAGTGGTATGTAAGTTTTTCCTATGAATGTACAAAGTACTGGAGTACCGTCTTGCAAGGAATGAAGATTCAAGAAAGGGAAAATTAAGAACTAGAAATATAAAATCTTAATATTTGTTTTCAGTAATTAAAAAAGTCATAGTGCATTGTATCTTGGATGGCAGTAGAAAGCTAAAACTGAGGCAGATTTCTGAGACAGTTTTGAAGTTAAATGTTTATGTAGTTTTGAGACTCAGATCTGCTATTTTGGTTATTGTCTTGAATAGAGAATGTAATTTATAATTTTGATTTATCAAAGAAGAAATACCAACTAAATGTATCCCTTGAGAATTTTGAATACCAGAGCAGATATCTAAAACGTCTTCTCTCAGACATACTGGCTTCAAAGACCGTGCACATCGTCTGACTTTGTAAAAGTTACGAGTGTGCATATGTATGCAAACACATGTGAATATATATGAAATAAATGCACAGAAGTGTGACAAAAACATGTAATTCATACATGTGCATATTTTGCAATGAAGTGAAAAATTGAACATTCTATGAACAGGTGAAATATGAAATTTGAGGTTTGCTTGTTTGCCCAGCTTTTATGTAGAACAGGCTGTGTTGGTTGGCCTTTTCTTTCTTGTACTGGGATAACTATGTGAGTTTAATTCCCAAATAATGACACTTACTTAAAAAAAAAAAAAAAAAGTTTTTCAGAGAGCTTTGCTAGACTGTAGAGCCTCTTAATAACATGAATTTTCCTAAGTGCCTACAGTAATGTATTAATGTCCCACTGTCAGTGGCTTATGAAGAATTTGTCATTGACATATACTGTTGTATGTAGCTTTTTGTTTCCGTATTCAGAATTGTTAGTTAAGATAGGACCAGCATTCAGATTTAATGGCTTCATTCCTTGTGAATTGCATTACATGGTCTACTCTGCAATTGCAGTGTGGATTTCTTGTATATGAAATCAAACAAGTACACATCTACGTTAAATGGTTAGAAGCAGGAGCTGCAAAAAAGTTGTGCATTTGTTGAAATGTGGTATACTTGCTTTCTTGGTATCTCATTGAATAAGAGAAACACTTAAACTTTTTTTTTTTTCCCCTTATAAAATACTTGTCAGGTAGTGAATGTCTGAGGTAGAAAAAATCACAAGGTGAAAGCTCAAAAGCCTGTGTTTCCTTTCTGGTTCTGTGACAGGTTATTCACATGAAGTGTGCATATCCTTTATGATGCCTTGGTTTCCCCACCTGTAAAATGAGGAGGCATCATAGAAAAGATATAGATTGTTCCCTGCACTCATTAGTTGTCTTAAATGGAAACAGTTTTGTTAAAACACCAGTTCTTCAACCAACATATTGGGTTGTTGCCCCAGTTACAGCTAAATAATAGGAGTATCTAGTTTTGTTCAACTGAAGTTGTACACATTGATTTAAATATGAATCCAGAGGCTGGCTGAATTGAGTTTTCGATAATTTATTTTTGTACTATTTTAGGTTTTACTTCCATTTTTAATAAGCTAGGACTATCAATTAATCTCATTTGTTGTTATTCCATTATATAAATTAACTGCCAACAGCACAAAAGGTTATAATGTAGTGTTTTATTGAGACTACAAGTAGAAGAAAAACAGTGTGAAATTTCCTTGTATTGAATAGAAAAATTGCACTGAAGATTCAGGTGATCTACTTAAGCTCTTAATAGACCTCTAGAAAGAAATAATGATTAATCCTTTTAATTTTAAATCCACAACCAAGATAAGTTGAAGTGTGCCTTAAGAGAGAAGTCATCAAAATTAATAGGCAAGCATTTATGCAAGTACCTGGTGATCTCTCTTTTGTATTAGTTGTGTGTGAGTTGATTATTAGGAAAAAGGCATTGAAAATCTTCTTAGTACTTCATCTGAATGTAAAATTACTTATGAAATATTTAGCAATACTTGGTGCTTTTAAGCAGAAAGTGTTCTGTGTTCCAAGGGAGAGCAGTGAAACTGCATCTGGAAAGTGCCTATAATTTCGCTTGTTGAGATGATCAGAAAGTTACTTACTAAGCTTCCTCTAATTTACACTAAGGTGACAGTTCCATTGTTCTTGGAGGCCGTGAGTTCAGGACACAGACTGCTGTGCAGACAGCAGTATCAGCCATAGGACACATGGAAATTTATCTTAATTGTAGGCCAAAAAAAATCTCCTTTTTTGTCATTTCTGGCATGTACAGTGCAATTGTTCACAGTGCTTTTCTGTAAAATGTGTGTTTACTGAAATACATTTCCAGTCAGATTGTTAGAATGTGATCTATTTGGTGTTTTTTTTTTTTCTCAATTTGTTTATAGCAGCTGCTATTTCTGTATTTGTGTCCTGCAGCAATGTATGATAGTGCTATAAGTATATGATGTTTGTACAGGTCATTAGTGTGATTTTTTTTATCATAGAGTTGACTTATCATGGGACATGTTGATAATGAGTTGTATATGACTGACTAATTAATTCAGAGTGTTACAGATGTGTTTTTATCCCTTGGTTGTCTTACCTGTAATCAAAAATCAGTTTCAGGTAAACTTTTCCTGAGGTAATTTTTGGATTATGTCAGGATAGTGACAGGGCACAGTCTCAATGCTGTGTTCGGGGTAGAGCTTCAACATAATTTATGCAACTTCTTGTTCATTTTAGCCCTACAACATACGTTTTGGATGAAGATGAGCCTCGCTTTCTTGAAGAAGTTGACTATAGTGCAGAAAGTAATGATGATCAGGATGTTGAATTAGCTGATAATGTGGGTGATTATGAGGCCAGCAATCAAGAAGATGGACTCTCAGACTCAGATTCAACCAGGATACTCCTTTCTTGAAGCATCTTTGCAGCTGGTAATAAGGAATGAGGAATCTTGGGTTCTTGTACTCACATACTTCTTCACTCAAGTCTACTAAGGGGATAAGCTTAAAGAACCACAGTAACTGGGTCCTTTCAAGCTCAAGGACAATAAATATTTCTGATTTCTCATAAATTGGCACTTATTTTATTTAAGGAGTTCTCTGTTTTCTCTGAGCACGAACTAGATAAATTTCCTTACTGGTTCATTTTCTACTGAGTAACATTGCATGACATTTTGTGTCCTTAAAGCCTATCATAATAAAAAAAAAAAAAAAAAAAAAAAAAAAGGATAATAATTTGTGATGTGTCAGGATACAGAAATGAATTCTTTGTGCTAGGGCTGCTTTCTGAAAAATTCATCTGTACAGATTTTTTTAAATTCTGTTTGTATGTGTGTGTGTGTATGCGCGTGTGTACACTGAGGTGAAAAGGTTATTTTTCAATATCATGTTAATACAGATACTTGATTGTGTTTGCAATGATGTAGTGCCTGCTCTGAAATCATTTGATAATTACCAAATTAAAAATGAAAAAGTGATGTATGAATTGTTGCTCTTGTTTCTTGCTTCCGAGGATTATATGATGTTACCATAGTACTAGCTAAAACTGTAACATCTGTTCATAGTACAAAGTTCTGCACTGCAACCAATTCTGCCTGTATTCACAAGAACTGTACACTTGTTTAAAAGTCTTTCCCTATTAAAAAAACATGGCTTAATATGAAAAGATGAAGTGTACATGACTACAAGAAGTGGATTAGATGTGTGCCTTGTATGTATGTTTAGCTACCCGTTGCTTGTTTTCTCTTGTTCAATATGCACGTAGTTAAAGAGTTCAATTTACTGCAGGCACAATAATGTATATATCCAATTTAAATGCTTAAAGAGGGAAGGTCCAATTTTGTTGAAACATCTTTTAATTGGTCTGAATTCAGTGTTAAACCTCCTCTGAGAAGGAGATTGGACTATGTAGCCTCATGAGCTCCTTTCCAGCCTGAAAAACTGTGCTATGATTTTGTATTCTTCATGTCTAAAGCCAAGCTGTCAGACACGAGTTTTCATTTTTTTGTCTTCTCCTGTCATCTGCCAGCTCCTTTGCCTCTTATCTTTGCTTAATATAAAATCTAATGCAGAAATGAAGTTGCACTTTCATTTACAGAACTCACATGTTTTGCAATGAAAAATATTTTTCCGAAAGATTTTCACTGGATGTGACCTCATTGCATTATTCATTTTCTGTTGCATGTGCAGAGGCTTAAAGAGCATGAAGAATAACACTTATTAATTGCAGGAGGGTTTAATTGATGAGAACATTGCATTTACTATTGCAAATGAAACTATATGAAGGGTGCCATTGGCAGAAGGATTAAAATAAATCAGGGAATTAACTATGTTGATTCATTAACGCTAGGACGCTTTTTTTCACCAGGAGTTGCCATTTCAAATGGAGTGCTGGTTAGTGATGTCTGTATCATTCTAATTCTGAAACTGAGGAAGGGTTTCTGACCCTCTGGTGATTTGCTGCTATATTTTTGTTTAAAGATTTACATTTATGCTAATAATTACACACTGTGGAGGTGTGAGGCTATAATGAAGTCAGATTCTTATCCCCATATATATTTCTATCTAGTGAAAATTATAATTTCTCGTATTCTTAGAGCTACATACTGTGAACAAGAAAGTTTATTTCATAACCTGTTGAAGAGGTGTTACCTGCACTGAAATTACAGGGAATTACCTGCCAAGAAGGAGGATTGAATTTACCACAAACTTTGAAATATCTGTAACCCAATGAAAGCAGAGCAGAATGCTCTTATTACAGTGCCACTTCATTAGGTCTCTGCATGAATAGATTTTCATCCTTATGGATTCACACATCAGTAACTTCAGTGAAAAATTTTTGCTTAAATTTTGGAAGGTGCAGGATGCCAGGTGTTAGTTAACCCAACTGTGCATTTTTTCATTACTTCTCCTATAAATTTGTATTAGTCCTGGAATACTTTTTGCACACTACAAGAAAGACTAGAAATGTGCTAGATCCAATTAGAAATAATTCTGGTTTAGTAGTAAAAAAACAAATATGGTATTTTCATCCAAAATAAATACACATCTATGTACTCGTGTCTTGTACAGCTTCTAGATAGTGGGGGAAAAAAAAAAAAAAATAAATAAAAAGAAGTTATGAGTGACTTAAGCAATGACTCAGGATAACAGGCACTTTTCTAAAATACTGTTCTTTTTACGCATTAGATTCTAAGGTACTTAAAAATTAGATTTCTATATTTGATTTAGAAGTCAAGCTGTCAGTTGTGGGTCTGAACTACTTCAGTGCAAAACTGCAGTGCAAGAGTGAAACTGTCCTTACGTTGCACTTTGTGGAAACTGCAAAGGCCACGTGTCTGGCATGCACCTTGTTTGCAGGTACATCATTCTCAAAGGCCAGGTCTCCATTTGTGCCCACAGGGATTCAGGTTCTTGTTTTGAGCTGCCACAGCCCTAGCTACTTCACCTATTTATCCCTTCTCTATTACTTGTTGCCACTGTTAACAGCACTGTTGGCATTCACACTCCAGTATTCCACAGGTAGTGTGGTGAGAAGTTGGACGGCTTAGCTGAATGTGGAATAGGTGGGGCTTGAGCACCTGCAGCCCTGTTACAGAAGCATTCACCCACATTAAACGGCCAGAACAGGAGCTCCTCATCAGCCACTGATCAATGTATCATGGCCTGACCCAGAGAACTCATTGTCTTTGTTTTATGTATTGACACTTCAATATATTTTGGTTTTAAATGATGCTCTTTTACTGTAAGCATGACTACAAGAAAAGGAGTAATGTCTTTTTCCTGTAACAATAAGAAATAAGGTTAAAAACAGTAATTAGATTTGTGTTATTTGCTGTCTGTCTTCTAAGTAATTGCTGGATGATGAATTCCTTTATTCCCTCTCCAGGTATCATTCAAAATACAGCTAAAATTTGATATTGTGTCTTCACTGGTTACATCACTTGATGTAATGTAACTACAACCAAGACTGCAGTTAGTGCCAAAGTCTTCTCTGGTTGTTTTTGGAAGTAGATTGCTTTATCAGGGCGAGCTGATTCTATTCTCGAATAAGACTGCAGTGGTAGTAATGACAGTTTCCAAAATGCAAGAATTCCAGGATTCAGAAAGTTGCCATTGTAATGCTGTGATAGATATACTTGTTGCAGTGTTATTATGCATGCCTCAAGTAACAGTACTTATTAATAAAAATATATAATAAAGAATGAATTACAATCACTTTGCTCTCCTACACATTTTATTGGTTATAAATTTAAAGGCTTTCTTGTGATAGCATTTGCTATTGACCTACCTATAGGAAATTGGGTTTGTGCTTAGCATTTCAGAAAAGATACTGTTTTTGTTCTCTGTCAAAGTCAACACACTGCAGGCTTTTACAGCTATCTGCACATTAATAGACTGAATTGTAACTCTTAAAAAAAATTAATACCCTTCTGATCTGAAGATTTTGGATGAACTAGTGGAGGACATCACAGTGCACACAGAAGAGGGATTTTTGGTGAGGGTCTTTCTGCCCTACACAGCAAACAGACTTCTAACTGATCTAAGAAAGGCCTCGTTTTATTCTTCAGTAAGTCATCCCATTATAGTCCACCTTGGGCTGAAAGTGAGGACTAACTCACTTTTGCTATTTGCAGCAGCAGTCTTAGTATTTCAGATTTATTGGTTTTTAAGGAAATATTTAATATGGGAAGCTGGTCTTCTGGTTGCATGGAGCAGTATAGAAACAGTGGTTACCAGCAGTCATCAGCATCATTTTCTCAAATACACATGCAGTTTACAAAGCTAAGTCTGTCCTGCTTGATTGAATTGAAAACTTCATTCACAAGCTCTGTCATCCAAACTTGCAAAGTTTAGTAAAGTCACTGTAACTCTGAAGTTAGTCTAAGAATATCTTTCTTTGAAATATATATATGTATATATATTTAGGTCATTAGGATGTAAAGCATTTGTTTTATGACCTTGCACAGTATTTGCTGAAACCAACTATTCTGACTAATTACTGACTTTGAAGAAACTTCTTCAAAATGTGAACTACTAAACAGCTATCAAAGGATACACTATCTTAAATTATGTATAGCTTGGCTGTTCTCAATGGCATTGTTTAGTTGCTGTTAAGTAATTCATAAAACATATTCCCTTAATCCTTATACTGCACAAGATGGTAGGTGCAGTTCTGTTTTTTTTTCTTCCCAGTAAGAGAGCATGCTATCAGTCTAGCTTCTGAAGCAGTTCAGAAAGAATTGTCTGAAAATATCAAGTTTAGCAAAAAGGAAACAGTACACCATCGAATTTGATAAGCCAAATTAAGTAGTTACCAAATGCCAACCAGCTGCATCTTTTTGCTGCCTATGCAGATGTGTTTACCATGAGATGTTTGTGCTTTGTGCATGCCCTTCTTTCTTGGAATGGGGTTATTTAGCATGCATCATTTCTAATGATAGATTGGAAGAACACACACTTAAGTGAGCAGTAACAGATAGCACTGTTATAAAAAACCAGAGTAGCAAAATTCTACAATACTGCTTCCATGCATTAAATGTTCCATACATGAAATGTCGCTCTTAACGTGGAGTGGGAAGATCAGCTTGAAATGACTTAGAAGAGGAGCTGCTTCTGCATTGTCCGTCCAAATTTAGCAAGGTAAAACATTAAATATGCAGAGGAATCTGCACAGCTTAGTAGAACAAAATTTCTTTGCAAACTCTCACCAACATTTTGTCCTACTCAGTTTAAGGAGGAAAAAAAAAAAAAAAAAAAGTTTTGCTTGCTGTGTACTTTGAGAATTCACTCTACAGTTCAAATTATTTTTCAGCATGAAAGAGGAAAATTGAGTCCAAGGATGATGTAATACTAAATTGTAGATGTCTTCATACGGCTTAACCTGCATAAGGTCTCTCAATTTAAGGTCAGTACTGGGCAGATTAGAAATGCTGAGAATGAGGTTTGCTCCAGAACATGGAGGTCTGTGGCGCAGGAATGTTTTATTCAGAGAATTGTATTTATGGAACAACATTCTTGCTTTCCCTCAAACTTGCAAATGAAACAAATGTGATTTACCTTCCAGGGAGCTGGAAAAGGTGAAACACATGCAGCAGATGTTTTGCAGCTTGCACTCTTCTTACAGACTCTCAGAATTGTAGATGTTGGAAGGAACCTCTGGAGAACAGCTAGTCCAATCCCCTGCTAAAGAGGATTCCCTACAGTAGGGTGCACAGTAATGTATCCAGACAGATTTTAAATGTCCTGAAAATGAGACTCCACCACCTCTCACAGCTTCTTTGCATAACTTGTTCCAGTGCTCTGTTACCATCGAAGTCTTCCTCATGTTTGCATAGAACTTCTTGTGTTCCATTTTATGCCCATTGCCCTTTGTTCTGTGGATGGGTGTCACCAAAAAGAGCCTAGCCTCATCCTCTTGGCACCTGCCTTTTAGATGTTTGTAAGCTCTGATAAGATTCCCCCTCAGTCTTTTCTTCTCCAGGCTGAACAGCCCCAGGTCTCAGCCTTTCCTCATGAGGAAGCTGATCCAGACTCCTCACTGGCTCTGTGGTTCTTCTCTGTAGATGCTCTGTAGAATATTCCTGTCTGCCTACAACTGAGGAGCCCAGAATTGCACATATTACTCCAGATGCGGCCTCACTAGGGCAGGGTAGAGGGGGAGGAGAACCTCCTTTGACCTTATGTTTAACTCTAGCATTTGAAACAACTTCAGGAGGCTGCTGGCTTTTTGAGTTGAACTTCTTTGCACAGAGGAGGTCCTTCATCACTTAAATGGCTGCTTTCTGCTCTCCTTAACAGACTCCCCTTCCCTAGAGACATCCAAAGCTAGACTGACAGGGCTCTGAGCAACCTGGTCTAGCTGCAAGTGTCTGTTCATTGCAGGTGAGTTGGACTACATATCTTTTAATGGTCCCTTCCTACTCAAATGATTCTGTGATTCACTGAGTGTTTGGGGGTTAGATTAGAACTATTGTCTTTTCTGGCTAATTAATTAAGTCAACATAAACAACTCCTAGTTAGCAGCACTGCTCTCAAGCTTGCTTCATCCCCAAATGAATATGAGCATATTTCACCATAAGATGAAAAGCACAGAGTAAGGAAGACATGATCTTTAATATTTTGTATAATGTTGGTTCAACTGCACCATATTTACATAACTCTCACAAATGATACAAGCAGTCTGGCTAACCCCCAGATTAAAATGCCTCAGTCATACATTTTGTGAAGACAAGCTGCAAAAAGGTCCCGCACAAACCCTCAGCCAATAGTCTGCCTTAATACTTGGCTTTGATTCAGCATCCCACTTAATTTAATTTACTGCACTACCCTGCCAAATGAAAATTCCAGAACTGGATCAGATTGTATTCCAAAATAACATATGCCCTTTTTTATTTTTGTCCTGTTAAGACTGTTACAAAATTTGCAGATTCTGTGCAACAGTCATCCTGCTGTTGTGTAACCACAAAATGGAGCCACAAATTTGATTTACACACGTCTAGTACATGTGCACAAGTTCAACTTCATCCAGTCTTGTCATGTTGGCCCTTAAGTTTAAGTGATAACTCAGTAACATTTCCATCTTCTTTTTGGTTTGACCTCACTGTTGACAAAATCCTACTGTTATGAATCATACTGGCTAGGAAGGTTTGAAAACCCTTGTTATCAAATGCAATCCTTGATTGTGTTTCAGAACAAAAGAAAGTGCCCCAATATGTCTGTTTAAAAATACTAGCTCATTACTCAGTATGCCAAGTAGTCTTCCTTTTGTCCAAAACACCAGTATCCAGAAAGAAAGTCACTGTATTTCAAAACTGTTTTTTACCTCTATATTACTGGAACGAGTGACTTCCGAAAGACACTAAGTATAGAAATCCCTTCATGCTAACTACCAGACCCATGTTTCAGTAGGGAGGGTAGACCAAATGTGATTTGCTGTACCCTAGTGACTCCTGGTCAGTTACTTCAGTAAGGCAGGTGAGTCCCTTCTAGCTCTCTCTCTGTATTGAGGCAAAAGTACTCTCATTGATAGCAGTAGAAGTTTTCAGCTACATGTTATTCACTTGATTATATCTGCTAGGAAGATTTGTGGTCTGGCGTTTCCTCATCTTTGAGCTGTGTTCTGCAGCAGTGGAAGGCACAGGGGAGAGTAAATTGTGAATTGCCCATCTTAAGGGCCATGCTGGGTGGTACTCAACAGTCACCATGTTTGTCTGGCTCGCCAACCAGGACAAAATGGCTCTAGGTTCATGTTGGCAGTGACAAAAAAAATGAATGATGGACTTGATCTTTGTAGATCCCTTCCAAATGAACTATTCAAAAATGTACTCAGAAGAGTAGTGCTAAAATATCTTGCAGTCACTTCTTGTACTCAATTTGTCAATACAAGATGAAGCTTCCTGGCTACAGAGCCACCACGCACAGAAGCAGAATCCTTGTGCATGTGTATGTGTCTGTGAGTAGAAGGCACAGGGAACCGAAGTAACTACAGAATTTAGGCTTGTATGTTCTATTTGTATCATTCTCTCTTTGATGTTCATACAGATTTTTAACTATTGTTAGCTGCATCATTAATGTCTCAGGCTGAGAAAACACTTTTCTTCTAGAAAAATAAGTCAAATCATTCCTTGTAACTTGAAATTGTCATCTTAAAGCCATTATCCATCCACAATGTTATCACTATTAAATTTCAGTGATCTACATTGCAAGGATTTATGGTCATCCCTAGCAGGTGCCATGTAAAGGGAACAATATAACTGAAATAATCCAACAAAGGCTTTAAAGCATTAGTCAAATCTGAATGTGGAAAGAATGTGCGTGAGACTCCCGCCTAATGTGGCAGTCAGCCCTTAAATGGGGTCTAGGAGAGGTGGAGCCATTGAGGTGAGTCCCCTGTAGCTTTCTCTCTTTATTGAGGCAAAAGTACTTTCACTGGTAGCAGCAGAAGTTTTCAGCTATATGTCATTCACTTGGTTATATCTGCTAGGAAGATTTGAGGTCTTGCAATTCTTCAGCAATTGGAATACTGAAGAACGTATTTGCCAAATCTAGGACATATTGATAGGTTTTTATCTCCCTACTCAATATGTCTATTAGGGAGGCAGTGTTGGGTACAGCTGCATGAAAGGCGGCATGACTTTATTTAACTCTCTGTAATCCAGTGTCATTCTCCATGTTCCATCTGACTTCCGCACTGGCCATATGGGGGAGTTATATGG